CCTCTGTCAATAAAAATCAGTAATGACTATGACACATCTTTTGTATCAAGGATGAAGATTTACATGTTCCATCTCACTCCCAGCATCGGAGATACTTCCAACCCTGAACCCAATCCAAGGAACAGAGGAACCGGTTTTGTTCTTCTGGTTCCAAGTGCAGACTTAATCAAGGGCAAATCTCTGTGCATGACAGATTTGTTCTAAAAGAAGGAAATGCGTTCTTTGGCTTTTTTTTTAGCTTGTAGAAGCAATCTTATGCCAAAAAGTAGGTCTACTCTAGACAGGTGATAAGAAGGACTGACCCTAGAAAAAGAACATGTTACTATGTTGCCATTCTTTCCATCACTGTCTGATAAAGTTCTCACTCTGTTCTTTAAATTATCCTAGAAAACATCCAACAAAACTTAGCCACACCATTGCTGGTACTTCTAATATTAAGACCATGCTACAAGAAAACTTTCTCAAAAAAAAAATCAGGTCACTGTAGAGCTCATAAAAAAAAAATGAAACCACATCACAATCTGTTCTCAGTCTGATTCCCTAATGCATAGCAAGATAGGCATCAAGCACTTGGGAAGGCCTCAAATTAGCTTAGCTTTGTTTTGTTTACCCAAAATCAGTTCAGTGAAACCACACAGTCACAGCCAGTCAAATGACGAAAATAGATTATGGACAACCCATCACTTTCCACAGTGCCTGCAGTCATCCAAATCTCCCTGCTATCTCACCAGCTATCTATGTTCTGGTTTCTGCACCAAAAATCAGGCTCTGCTTAGTAACTGCATTCCCAACTACCCAGTCTTATGTTTTGAAACTAGAGCTACAGCCTCCTGAGTTTTATCTGCACATTTTTTTCACAAATTCAACATTCTGCTATAATCACACTAAATCTTCAGACAGAAAATCTGCCCGTTTACAAACCAACCAGAATGGTTTTTAAGCATGCGAGCATAGATAATATTATCAACATCAACAGAATTTGCTTAAACTTAAGCATGTCCCTTACCAGATTCCTAGTAAGGCCTTACAGTAGTGAAACCCTGAGAAGGAATGACCTGTAATAAGTAATTTAATTCTTCTAATAGGAAAAACTGTGACTGCCAGCTGTACTTTTGTTATACTGCTGAAGTAAATTCTCATATTTTATAAAAGATGGCGCCTAAAGTATTTGCAATTTTTTTATTCCTTAAAGACAGGTTTTTTCACATTATATGGACTAGTGACTAGGAAAGAGTCTTTGTTTAGCCAAATTTGCATTCTTCTTGTTCATTATTTGGGCTGAAAAGGCACTTATATGTCCCAGAAAATAAGATACATGCTGAAATAGATCCTACGGGGGTAAAAAAATGTATTAGGAAGCAGAATAGGTCCATAAACTGATGTACTTAATTTAGCTTCAGTGAGCAAATAACTTCTCCCTTATATGAAGAAATACTACAACACAGATTTTTACTTCGAAGTGTACTGAACAAAGTCAGTGGAAGGCAATGATTTGGAGATAGTGTGGATATTTTAAGGGCACTTTCTACTATTTGCCAAAATTATCAGCACTTTGAGTTTTCCTGATAAAAGTGTTCTTCATAACAATCCTTGCAGTAGGCTTATGAATTGGTTGAATCATCTTATAACTACATCTACTGCCATCCAGAGGTAATTGGCAAAAGTTTGAAGAGTAAATCTAAGTTAATGGTATCACTAACAGTGAGACATTAATCCTGTACATTAGAGCAGCTCCTATCAAACACAAACTTAAAGCTGTAGCCCCGCTGAACAGAAACTACAAAAATAAATTTAAGCAGCATAATTCTTTATTCTTTTCCAAAAGAAAAACAAACCCGACAGTATATCACGTTGATGTTGTAGTTCTTTTGGTGCATCACACATATCTTGCATTATGTTTTCTATTAATCTTTTGGGCAAGTGTTTCTTCAAATTACATGCTGGCATCTTATGTTTTTCATGCAGTTAAAATTTTTATGTGGTAAAAACAAACAAACAAACAAAAAACAAAAACAAAAACAAACAAACAAAAAACCCACTAAAATTCTACAGCTTTCTTCATCCTAAAGAAAACCTGCACTTTGTAAAAGCATCCAGATTCTGTCTGGTGACATCACAGTAAAGAAAACAAGCAAACACTAAGGAATTAAGCATGTACACACACGCATACACCATGACATGTATTACTATTGTTCATACTAAAGAGACAAAAAACCTCATGGAAAGGGAAAGCAATGATGAAATTGTTTATTTATCTATAGATTTCAAGTGCCCACAGTTAGCTGCTTTCAAGCCCTACAGCTGAGCACTTACAAATCCAGTTCACAGGCAGTTCGAGAAATGCAGTATTTCAGATGCTAAAAGAAGCCCAGGAACCCAAAAGCAGAGATGATCAAAATGCATAAACTTTTCTAAAATTTTACTCTTTTAAAACTTTCTGAAAAAGTCCATTAAATAACCTGAAACAAACATGAGATAATGAGAGCATTCATTTCCTAAAAGCAATATCTATAGTTCAACACTGGTATCACCATTTCATCTTTTGAAAAGCCCAAATTTGCAGCAGTACACGCACACCTATTCCCTTAACGTAAGCAGTATGCCTGCTTGTAATTCCCAGCTCTAAACTGGGAGTACAAGCTCAAAGAGTGTCTATGATCACTATAGTGAGCACCTCAGAAGTCCCTTCTCAGAATGGGACAGTTTCCCAAAATATCCATGACTATTCACAAATCTTGGTTTACAAATCCATTCAAATATTCTTCCAGCTACCACCTTCCCAACCACACCATGAAACCACAAACTGCAAACGCCAAAAGTACATTCTGGTTCTGAGGCACAGATTTCTGGAAGCCACAAAAAGGCTGAAATTCAGTTCTACAGAGCAGTTTCCAGAAAGTAGCTTTTACCTTCTGAGATTCTTCTACACATTTTCAGGTAAAACAAGAAGATCAATTCCTGGCATGCACTCCTTCTGCTATTCCAGTGATAATCATTAACACTTCAAGCAATTTAGGAAGTGCAATAGATACTACCATTTATGTCCTCTCAGTCCCAGGCATTTACCTGAAGCATCCTGGGCTTTGTATAAATATAGACCAAAAGAACCCAAGATGTTAGCTGCAGAAGGATAAAACAGGAGGGTACATGGATCAGCGTAAAGGTATTAACCAGACTGCTGAAATAGTGGACCTTGCAGTTCAAAAGTTTAAATTTATGCCTGAATATAGATAGTGCCTATGCATCTCTTCAAAGAACTGCCTTTAAAATTAATTTTATCTGCAATTCCAGGTGAAAGTATGAGCTGTCCAAATTAGGGAAGAAAATATTGTCCAATGCCATCTTGTGGTAAATGAGAAAATAGTCTGTGCCATCCAGCTTGGATTTAAATACATAGGGACTCTGCTGCTCCATAGTATACAAATCATGCTCAAAACTGCTGACTTGGGGGAAAAAAGAAAATTATCATAGAGTAAAAAGGGTAAGATTTTATATGCTAGCCATTAGAATTTGAGAATCAGCTATTTGTCTTCATCTTACGTTTTCTTTTCATTTCAACAATACTGCTGTGGCATTACACTCAGAATCATTTCCATCACTCTAAAACTAACATAAAGGAAAGATGTGATATAACTTAGTAGAGAACTGTACCTCGTATAAAAACTCTTGTCACTTACCTCAGCTACCACGAAGTTAAGTGCTACCATGAACTTGTTTTTCGGGCACCAGAGATCAGTTCAAAATGTCATAGCCATACAAGCCAAATCACTGTATAGCTATAAAAGGATTCTTCCATAGTACATTTGTTTAAAAATAGCACAGAGGTATCTTTGACCCAGCTGACCTTTGGGTGCACACCATATCACCCGATCACCTCACTCAAAATTATGCCTGATGAGACATCTGCCAGGTGATACTGCTTCCTAAATTCCTCCCCTCCCTTCTCTGCAGGGAGAGAACACCTCTGTGTCAGTCTCTGGGATCCTGCAACAAAATACTAGAATTCTGGTCCTGTAAGGAGCAGTTAGAGGCACTGCTTTACAGCAAGGAGTGTCAGACATAATCATATGCAAAAGAAGGGAAGAAAGAAAGAAAAAAACCCCACAACCAAAAACCACAGGTAAAGTATGTTCCTGTGTCGCAGTCCCTGTCCTGTTCAGTGTTTGGATGTCATGGCACACCCGTAGTGCAGGCAGAGGTAGGGGAAGCTGCAGGGCCCTGTTGGCTCTCTGATGGTCTCAGCTCTACGCTTTTGGCATTGTCTCCCCTCACCTGCAGTCTCTTCCCACACATTTTCCCACCTCAGCACCACTCGCGGTGGCAGCGAGAGATGGGTTTGGGGCCACCACAGCCCCCGCACAGCTCCAGCCTGGGTGTAACTGGGGATTCATGAGTATCGCCGGTGATACCATCAGTGAAGGGTCTAGAAGGTAAGTTCTCCAAGGAGCAGCTGAGGGAGCTGGGGTTGTCAGCCTGGAGGAGGCTCAGGGGTGACCTTATCGCTCCCTACAACTACATGAAAGGAGGTTGTAGCCAGGTGGGGGTTAGCCTCTTGTACCACACAAGTGACAGGACAAGAGGATAGAGGCTTAAACTGTGCCAGGGGAGGTTCTGGTTGAACATTAGGAGGAATTTCTTCACAGAAAGGGCAATTAATCATTGGAATGAACTGTCCAGGGAGGTGGTGGAGTCACCATTTCTGGAAGTGTTTAAGGAAAGACTGGACGTGGCACTTTGTGCCATAGTCTAGTGGCATGGTGGTGTTGTTTGACCATAGGTTGGACTCGATGATCTCAGGGGTCTTTTCCAGCCTAGTCGACTCTGGGATAGGAAGCGCCTGCCCGTAAGCCAGGGACGCCAAGGTGCGGTGACACGGCAGCGGCGGGCGCAGACCCCAGGACGGTCTGTGGGGACCGGCGGCTACCTCAGGCGGGGCCGCCGACCCCAGCGCCTCCCGCGCCTCAGGACTACATCTCCAGGCGGGCATTGCGCCGATCCCTCCCCCACGGGCAGGGCTGTTCCGGCACGCCGATTCCGGCGCTCTGACCCGGAGGAGCTTCCCCGCACTCCCGGGGCACCGGCGGGGCTGCTCGCACGTGGTGCCGCCGCCGGCATGGCGGCCGTGCGGGTCGAGGCGGTGCTGGCGGCCGCCGAGGAGCAGGAGGCGGAGAAGCGGCGGAGCATCACGGTAGAGAAGGAGCTGGAGCTGGAGTTCGACTTGGGTAACTTGCTGGCGCTGGACCGCAACCCCCCTCCAGCGGCGGCGGCGCTGCGCGGGGCCGGCCCGCGGCGGGAGGCGCTGCTGCGGGCGCTGGCCCGCGACAACACGCAGCTGCTGGTGTCCCGGCTCTGGGAGCTGCCGGCCGAGCGCGCCGGCGGTGCCGGGGGGCCGCTGGTGGCGCGGCTGCCCGAGCCCACCTTCCGCCTGCCGCGGGAGAAGCCGCCGCCGCGGCCGCGGCCGCCGACGCGCTGGGAGCAGTTCGCGCGGCTGAAGGGCATCCGCCGCCGCAAGAAAACCTCGCTGGTGTGGGACGAGCAGGCCAAGGAGTGGCGGCGGCGCTGGGGCTACCGGCGAGCGGGCGGAGACCCGGCCCGCGCCTGGCTGGCGGAGGTGCCGGCGGGCGCCGACCCCGAGGAGGACCAGTTCGCGCGGCTGCGGCGGGAGAAGCGGGAGCGGGTGGCGCGCAACGAGCTGAACCGGCTGCGCAACCTGGCCCGGGCCCACCGCGCCGGGAGCGCCGTGCCCGCCGCCCCCCTGCACCCCACCGGCCACCAGGACCGCGAGGAGCTGCGCCGGGTCGCCCGCGTCGCCCGCGTCTCCACCGCCTCGCTCGGCCGCTTCCAGCCGCGGCTGCCGAAGGAGCCAGCGGAGCCGCCCTCCCGCAGCGGCGGCAGGAAGCGCCGCTTCGAGCCGCTCCTGGGCAACCTGGCGGCCGAGCGCAGCCGGCAGCTGGAGCTGCTGCGGGACATGGGCAGCAAGAAGCCGGTCCTGGACATCACCCGCGCTGTCAACAAGCAGATGCGCCAAGAGGAGGCCGAGGCGGCCGCCGCCCACAAGGGCAAGAAGCAGTCGCAGCGGGGCAAGCGCGGCCGCCGGCAGCAGCGGCCGGGCCGCAGTGGCAAGAAGAGCGGAGCCCGGCGGCAGCAACAACAGCAGAAGCCCGCGGGCGGTGGCACCGGCGGCGGCCGGAGGAAGAAGGCATGAGGGACTGTGCAGCACGGGCTGGGGATGCCCTCTAAGGCGTGGGAAGGGACTGTCACTTGCAGCCTCCCGCCCCGTGCTCCGTTCACACACATACTTGTCAATAAATATGCTCTGGCCTTTCTAAAATGTCCTGCTTTTGGATCTTAGCTGGCGGTCAGGGAAGGCTGTGTTCTCCCTCCAAGGGAAATTGGTGGTGTATCAAGGGGGTTGGGAGCCCTGGTTTCCCCTAGGCTGGGGGTTTCACACTGACATGTGTCACATGTTGCTTCAGCATCTCCAGGCTGGACCAAGGCTGGGCAAAGCTGTCCCATGTTCGGGTAGCTGGGACTGGGGATGGACTGCAGCTGTGACCTGTGTTTTGATGGAGTAACAGCCACGGATAAAGTTAAGAGGATGTGGCTGCTGTTTTCTGCTCTGGGCAAGTGGCCTGACGGTGGAGCTCTTGCTCTGTTAAGTCAACTTCTGCTCAGCCCTGGTACGCAGGCTGCGTTACCAAAGAGATGAAAACTTACTGTAAGATTTATTGCAGAGCCTAAGAAATCATACAGATTCTCTAAAGCAATCTGTTGATGAGAAAAGGAAGTCAAAACCAGCCACTGAATTCAACAGAAAAATGTTTGCATTGAAAAGCAAGTTGAAACCCCAATTTCTCCCCACAGTAGTACTAATCCATCATTTCATAGAAATAGTTTTACAATGTTTTTCTTCACTAAGCAGTTTGAGGGCTGATAGTGGAAATGATCTCAGACTTCTGCACATTATTCTTTTGAACTTTGTAGGTAACATGTAGAAAAAAAAAATAAGCCACCAGTGTGTGGCTTAACTACAGGAAAGATGCTGTTTCCTGGTAAGAAAGCTAGTAAAACAAGTTTCAGCAATCTCTCTTAAGTTAGGTTTTCAAACTTTCAAGTTTGTGAATTGTTAGTGATATTATAATGCCTCACTGCAAATGAGTTTTTGAAAAAGCTGGGTGACTATAGCAGTTCTCTTGTCCTATTCTGTAGCAGTTCAGTTCGGATGGCAGCTTCAGCAAAAAGCATCCTAAAGCAAAACCTCTGTGTAAGGCAGCTGCCGAGGGCAGAAGGGGTGTGTACGCCTTGGGGCTTGGATGGCATTGATGGACTGAGTAGCACTCAACCATGTGTTGTTTGCCTCTTAAATGTTTCTTGTCCCTGTGCTGAGCAGTCTGCACTGCTGCAGGCTGCTTCAGTCTTGCTGGTGTCAGGAATGGTCTTGTGGACACAACCCTCTGTTAATCAAGCCTTCAGTGTGAGTATCAAGACAAAGCAGGGGTAAAAAACTCTTGAACAGGTGGAAAAGGTTGTTTGGAGATACGTTCCAGACCTTTGAACTTCCAGGCATTGCCATAGGGCATGTCTTTTACCTACTCAGCCAGAGAGATGGGGTCTTTCACAACGCATACACACACCTCGTAAGTATTCTATGCTGATGATGAGGTTATTGGTAAACTTTCTCCACCAAAATCCTTGGCGGTTTGTGCATTTCCAGCAGTGATGAAGCAACCTGAGCAGAGGTGCAGGTGCCTCTGGGGTGCTGACAGTTTCTGGTTCTCACAAATGGATGGTTTCACAGCTTCATGTAGGTTGCCTGGTCAGGCCATTAATATACTCTTCTGAACTCAACACCTTGCAAAGTCATCCTTTTTAAGCTCAACTGATGCGTTCATAGACTCACAGAATCATTTGAGTTAGAAGGGACCTTAAAGCTAGTTCCAGCCCCTCTGCCATGGGCAGAAACACCAGTGATACTTACATGTCCACAAAATGGAAATTTTCACTATCTTCAATATCTGAAGTACTTTTTCTTTCCTGGAGACCCAGAGAACACCAGCTGCCTGCCTTTAAAGTGTATTGCAAATAAATTCCTTTTTTGATGCATTAACCTTTTTCGCAACTCTCTAATAAATAAAACGCAGCAGTATGCAAAGGCAAAATACCTGCTACAACAGAAAAATGATGCTTTCTTTGTCAGAATCCAATATTACCTTTGCTTAATACTGATATACTTTTCTGTCAGCTAGGCAGCGCAGCTTAGAGAATCTTAAGAATGTGGTTACACAATTTTGATCCATCCTGCACTGTAGTTTACCATGTAATTTCACAGAATCATGGAATTCTTAGGGTTGGAAGGGACCTCTGGAGATCATCTAGTCCAACCCCGCTGCCAAGGCAGGGTCACCTACAGCAAGTTACACAGGAACACGTGCAGGTGGGTTTTGAACATCTCCAGAGAGGGAGACTCCACCACCTCCCTGGGCAGCCTATTCCAGTGCTCTGCCACCCTCAACGGAAAGAAATTCTTTGTGTTGTGGTGGAACTTCTTGTGGTTTAGTTTATGGTCATTGCTCCTCATCCTGTCACTGGGCACCACTAAAAAAGTCTGAAAAGTATTTTAGCTAATTTTTAAATTGCCCTATGCTCAGGACCGTGGCTTTTTTATTATTTTCACTCTGCAATCGAACTACTTTCAGTATTTTTCCGTGACAGCTACTATGACCCGCGCTCAGCCCTAACTGTACTTCAGTAGCTGTTCATGGGCACTCTGTGTTGTGTATTTTAGCAATGAGGTTTTGCTTGCCTTGAAACAGGCGCGGGTTGGGTTTTGCAGTTCGGTGCCTGCATTGACCGCAGGGGCATTGACTGGGGAGGGACTGAATGCGGACAGTTCTTATTTCACCCGTGCGACTGGTGCGGGGCCGGGAAGCGGCGCTGACCCGGGAGGAGGCGCTGCCGCTGGCCCGTCCCCGTCCCAATCCCGATCCTCTCCGGCCGCAAATGCGCGATGGCGGCGGGGCGGGCGCGGGTCGCTCGCCTGCTGCGGCAGCTGGAGCGGGCAGCGTGAGTGCGGCGGGACGGGGCGCCGAGGGCCAAGGGTTTTCCCCCCGGGGCCGGCACTGCCGGGGGCCGGGGCCGGGCGGGAGCCGCGTGTGGAGAGTGAAAAGCAGCGGCCGCTCCGTTCCCCCTCCCGCCGCACACCGCTGGAGACCCTTGGAATGGGTGCTTGCAGGAGACTTTTAGGCAAGGACGGATTCGTTTGTCTGCTTTAGTTTCCCCTTTTAACCATACTTTTCTTTTTTTTTTTTTAAACATTTTAACTAGATGTCGGTGCCCGAGCCATGGCCACACTTATTCCCAAGGTAAGACTTAATTTGTGTCTCCAGAGTAAAATCCTGTAGGAGACCGTGGCCCTGCAGAACCGTATGTATCAGTGTAACCAAGGCAGAGGTGTAGGTAACAGGTGAGAAAGAGAGCAGCTTAAAGGTTAAGGTAAGCAGTCTGTATTTTGCAGCTGTACAGGGATACTGGTTATTGTTGGAGAGATTCACTGTTCCCGCATAAACCACAATCACTGCCTCCTGTCCCCTGCTTCCCCATACCGTGAGGCAAGTTGATCAGACATTTGCTCTGGCTGCTACTACTGCTGTCACCACCTGAGCCATCTCCACTTTAGATCTGCTTTTGGGTACACACATGTTACATTAGAAAGGAAACATGAAGCATTATGGATAAAAAGTAGCTATTCACAAAGGTGGAGAATAAAATCTCCATAGGCTTTTTATACAGTCAGTGCCAAGAACGCAGCTCAGGCCATGGTTGTGGAGTCAGAGGAGGAAGCCTGTGCTGAGTAACCAAACCACCCTGGAGGAATTTCTGTGTGCATGGACCATAGGGAGGCTGTGAGAATAACTATTTGTGTCAGTCTCCAGATAGCTGATTGGTCTCTAAATCCAGTAAAAATTAGTATTTTTTGGCCATAATTTCTGTAATGGGTAATTCTGAGCAGCTTGGTTTCACATGCTTTGCTGAAGACACTTTTTAAAAAATTGCCATTGCCATTTCACATATGGAAAAGCCATATCTATCTTCAGATACTTGTTTTGTCCAAGGCCATCATACAGCAAGACAATAGCACAACTGAGAAACAGAATCTCATTCTTCTGCTTGTCTGCTTGATGATCTACTCAGTCAATTCAAATTAAGCTCTTCCTAAACAGAAGTCTTAGTTAAGCACACTCTCCATAAGTTTTAAGCATCGAGTCTATAGTGTAGCAAGATGATATCAGTTCAGTAAGTCTCTAAATAGTCAGAATTGATTTAACAGTGACTGTAGAGGAAAAATAAAAGTTCTTTATGTTTCTTGGCAGTGTTGAAGGAAATAGTGCAATTTTCGAACTCGGTAAAATTTCCTGAAAGTTAAGTTTGGCTCAAGAATATAACAAAAGGACATCTATTATACTATCAGAAAGCAAGAGGGTAAATGGTTTGGACATGTTCTTAGCCTGTCAAATTAATGACTGAAAGTACAGCAGACTCATGCTCCAGGAGAGGTCAAACATGTCCAGCCTGGCAAGAGGTGGCAATGAAAGAGCTGATAGCAGCTGGCCTGGGCTTCAATAGAAAATGCATGAAGGATTTTAATACATCTATGTGTTACTGTTGTGGGTTAGTGCTTCAGTGCACCCCAGAGTGTCTGTGACTCATTATCATGGCTTCACGCATTGGATCTGAACCCAAATTACATATTTTCAATTAATATAGCACATGTAAGGCATGACTTCAGCAGGAAGAGCAGAATGCCTCATCTGATCTTTTCTTGGAGAAGAATGGGCAGTGTCAGTTGATGTAGTTTGTTTCACTCTGTGGCAAAATCAGGATATGCCAGAAATTGAGTGTTGTGATGATTCATGCAAGAACGACATGACAGAGAGAGGCTGTGACTGAAGGACTGTCCTTCTAAATATCTTTTCTTCTAAGTAAGGTTGATAGTAACACACCGATTCTTATTTATTATTAGAAATGCATGCAGTTTCTTAGTTTTCTAGCAAGCAATTCAGTTTCACCTGCTAGTTCAGGACTAGGCAGAAGTAAAGAGAAGTGTAAACACCTGTTAGTATTGCTCCCACACATACAAAAGATTTTCTCTATTCAGGTGTACATGGAGGATGTCTCATGGATTTGTCTTAAAAGTTGTTCTGAAGGTTATCATGTAGCCCCTACACATTTCTAGCACCTATCAGCTTGTACCAGCTTGTACCAGCACTCAATTCCACTTATCATGTGCTTTTCTGGTCTTTGCAGACTGCAAACATTCTCATACAAACTTCCTGCTAACTTGTTCGGTTTTCATAGGAAATAATTCTTGAAAGAAGGGGAAAAAATACTTGTTTTGCTGAACTATATTAATCAAATCAAGTACTTAAATAATCTCACAACCATTAACGGATGAAATGGGTAACTGTTATCCAGACAAGCTGAGATGACCTGTGCAAATATATTAGTGATTCTAAAAGCAAGGAAGTCTGTCAACTCTAGTGCTGAGAAACAGATTGCAATAACTTTTTGTTCCGTAATTTTACTGTTTCATTTCCATTCCAGTCCCTGAGCGGCCTACCCTGGGAAATACAGACTATGCATTTGAGGTAGGTTTAATAATCAAATGTATTTGATTTAAAAGTAGTATACAAGACACTAATTGCTAAACATGGCATTCAACAAATAGTTGCATTATTAAATATTTATATTTCACTTTGTCTGTGTGGTAGTAGATGCCATTTATCCATTTTTCCAGGAAAAAATGGTTGTTTGGTTTTGGTTTGTTCTTTTTTTTTTGTAGATGGCCATTTCAAACATCCGATATGGAGAAGGAGTTACAAAAGAGATTGGCATGGTAAGCTGCTATGGTGTAAGTCCATCTCTGGTGAAAAGTTACTTTCTAAAGGGCTGATGGTGCTATCAATCCGTTTTATGAAGGAAAATTTATTTATGGCATGTCTGAATCTCCACCGATTTGCAGTATGTGTTGTCATATATACCAGTGTAAAAAGGCTGGAAAATACTATTGGGTACAGAACAGAAGCATATTGCATCAATGTTGCTGTGGTATAACTGAGAACATGAAATGCAGCTTGGGGGATAATTAGATAACTGATGATTTGCTAGGATTATGCAACAATACTTTTCGCTGACAGGGAATTTAATTCAGAAAGTTTTGAATCCTGGTGACTCACCAGGATTTTCTCAAGATCACTTTTGTCTCTTCTACTGCTCCTTAAAATGAATTAGAGACTTTCCATTAAATTAGCTAGATACTCATTCAGCTCTGAGTTTGCACTGTGAAAAATGAAGAATTTTTGTTTCGGCAATGTGAGATGATTCACCTGAATACGTTGTTCCAGTTTGCCGTTATCACTGGCTTTTTTCATTTATCATTTTTTCCTCCTTTCTTGGCATTTCTGGCATTAACAATTCTCTTTTTTATTTGCAAATTTGTAAAGCAAGATAACAGTCAGTAAATGAAATTAGACAGAACCTCTGTCTTTAAACAGTATTGGAATTATTTAGAATTGCATGTATCATGTAGCTCTTGTGACAATTAATTTAGCAAAGGTTAGGATGTATTTTTCTCTCTTTTGCCACCTTATTTTGATTTTTAATCAATAAATTAATATTCAGTATTAAATTTGCAAGATTTTGATCCTGTGCTTTGGTAGGTATCTAGGGGAGACAGCCTGTGAAAAAACCTTTTTACTGTCACAGGAATTGTGTAGGAAGAAATATTTTTTTAAAAAAATTTACATTTTACTCTAGGCTTAACCATGTGGTTCAACAACTTTAGTTTTCTTCTGTCATAAGACTTCAACTATATCGGTTTGGCAGCTTTAAATTTTATGCTGCTTTCTGCATCCTTTATGTGTGTGGTTAATGCTCTTTTTGTTCGGCTGATATGGTTTTAAAAATTTTACAATAATCAACTATTTTTAGGTTGGGGTTTTTTAATTATTAATTGATCTGTTGATTTGGATCAGTTTTTGAATTATTCAGTGTATGATTTTTACTAGTCATTTGGTTTTTAATGTCATTGTTATTGTAGGACCTGCAGAATCTTGGTGCTAGAAGAGTTTGTGTGATGACAGATAAAAACCTCTCCAAACTCCCTCCTGTAAATGCAGTATTGAATTCCTTGGCAAAATATGGTATAAACTTTCAGATATATGATAATGTCCGGGTGGAGCCAACAGACCAAAGGTACTACTCACTTCTGATAGTGCACTTCTCCAAGTAGTGCCTAGGCCTTTCCAGCATTCCCTGTGGCTGTTTAAACACCTTATGACCTGCATACTGGTCTTAATAATTAGTTTCCCTGTGTACTGGTTTAATCCTGACTAATTGGAAATCCTTTCTTGTTTTCCAAGTTTCCTGGACGCCATTAGATTTGCCAAAAAGGGAGAGTTTGATGCCTATGTTGCTGTTGGAGGTGGGTCTGTGATAGACACCTGTAAAGCTGCCAACCTGTACGCAGCCAGCCCTACATCAGAATTCTTGGATTATGTCAATGCTCCTATTGGGAAAGGGAAGCCTGTCACTGTTCCCCTCAAGCCACTGATTGCAGGTAAAGCAGGAGGGATGTATGTGGAGAGTGAGGGCTTGGGGGAAGGGGAGTTATTCTACACTCTCTGTGATATTTCTATTAAAATCAGTTTACCATGACTGTTTCAGCTTCCTCTGGGCTTACTTCTTCTCTAGTTGTATTCAGCAGCAATTTTACTATTTACTTCAGTGTAAAAATCAGAGCTTTTGTAATTAGTTTGTCTTGTTTAGCTCAGTTAGACTGCTTTTACTGAGAAAAGAGATCAAAGTTACAGTTTCTCTTTGACCTGTTGGCTTTGGATCAGGGATTCCTCCAAGATTTCCTGGTTCCTGTGTTTTTGGTGGTGTTACTATTGTGGTTTTATTTACTTATTTTGCAATATTATATATTATTTGTTGTTATCCCCATTCTTCCTTTTAAGTTCCTACAACATCTGGCACTGGAAGTGAAACCACTGGTGTTGCCATTTTTGACTTCAAAGAACTAAAAGTTAAAACCGGTGAGGTTTTGCTGTTTTGTTTGGGGGTTTTTATTTGTTTGTTTTGTGGGTTTTTTTGTATGCTATGCAAGACAGCTGCTTTTCCAATGCTTTTGTTATTTCCCTGCTGTGAAAGAAAGGGATACCGCGTTTCATTTCAGGTGTCATTTTGTTTGAGTCAACTGCCACAGGCAAATTTGAAGAGCTTAATGGTTTCCTCCTTGAATTAAATTCATAGCGTATTAACATAATGAAATGCCTATGTAATACATTGGATTATAGTTTGAAGGCAAAACAGGAAACTAAAATCTTTCAAGTCCTTAAATGGCAGAAAATGTTAATTGCAAAGGAAATTTCTACTTATATTCAGGGTCAACCAACTGTTCCTTATTTCCTCCGTATTTTTCTTTCTGCTTTTAAGACTTCTGTTTCTTTGTTGTGTAATTGCAACCAAATGTTCCTTTTCCTGACTTTTGAAACCTCAGGCCTGGGATGCTGTGCAAGTGAGGGACAGTCTTCCCTTGGCCTTTTCATCCCTGGCAAATAAAGATTAAGGCTAAAATGTCATCTCGAGCTTCATAGCTGTTTTGAGGTTTTACTTCTAAACATGTGGATTTTATATGCCATGCAGTCTGCAGTGCTTGGGACCCAAATGGATGTGCTAAGGTGTTCTGATAATAGCTCAAGAGTTTTCTAGTCTATACGTAGTCAATCAGCCTCCGTCTGTCTGTCTCTCCCTCAAAGCTACATCTGTGCCTTCATAACCAAAACATGAGGGCATGGTTATTACAGATGCTGAAGACAGCAACTGGCAATAGCAATCGATTGTAGGCCCAAACCAGTTTTGCCCTCTGACTGTTCACAGGAGATACAAATTTAAGAATACTGCAGATGGCATGCAGCACAGACATTTTGCAAGTATAGGCTGCTCAGGGAGTGTTGCAAACAGAGAGAGAATGCTATTGCCACTTCAGGCAAAAGTCTCAAATCATATAAGCCTGTTACAGGGACTTCATCATCAGTAAGATACCTATGATCTACGTTTATAGATACTCCTTGCTCTCCCTTCTCTCTCTTCACTTTTACGTTCATAGTTTCAAATAAGTTCCCCTCCCTATTTTGATGTTTTGAACATTAAGCTTGTCCTATTTTGTTGCAAAAAATCTTTAACCCATTTTCCTCACTTAACATATTGCAGGTATTGCTTCAAGAGCCATTAAGCCAACATTAGGCATCATTGATCCTTTGCACACACTGTCTATGCCTGAACGAATAGTGGCCAACAGTGGCTTTGATGTGCTTTGGTGAGTTTTCTGTGTAGGCTGGTACCTGAACTTATTACCTATTTGTATTTTTACTATGATGATTGTAGAAAAAAATATATTTTGGGAGCAGAAAAGGATGATCTTTTTTCTCCTTTTGCTCTTCTTGTTAAGGTGAGCTCTGTTATACTTTCCTCTTAGTTTCACTGCCTCCCTCAGAATGTATGGAACCAAATCACTCATTTGCAGAAATTTGCTTCCAGGATGGTGGTTGTCAGAGAAGAGGGTCCAGGTGTCCTTTTTTAAGAGATCATAGAGATTATTAATCAGAATTGTGACAGCATTTATCATGTCTCACAGACATGGCAGGGAACGGAGAACAAGGATTTTCTAACAAAAGCCATGATGTGTCAATAAAAGTTTGTAAAGGCTTGTGAGATGCTGGCAGATCTTCACCCAATTATGGCCATCTTTGGAACCTCTCTTTAATTTGCTTTTCACTTGGCACAAAATTTTCTTCATCTTAAACCTACAGCTTTTAATTTCACAAAATGCACTGACATTTCTATTTGGAGAGCCAGAGCTTACTTTGCTTCTGGGTTCTGTGTATATTAAAGCAATAGAGCTGTAATGAAACAGTGATTTCTCAAGCTTGGTGAAGTACCCTGGACTGCAATATCTGTAATGGAATCAAGGCATTTGTTCACCAATGAAAATGGTTTTAAACATCTGTAGCCATGTACCATGGCTGAATGTAGCCATGTACCCAGTGCCCCTTCTTTATGTGGTCGGATTCATGAGAATCTCAGAGATTAAACTGTTGGCAGTTCCACTCAGCTTAAATATCATACCCCTAATTTTTTTAGAGGTTGATACTTCTAAAAGAAAGGTACCTTAGCGATGCTTCCTGTGCTAAAGCTTCTTACAGCTCCCGTCCCACAGAAAGGAAATGCACCCATTGCACATGTACAGTGTTCTTCAGTGAAAAGCATTACACACCAAGGTGCCAACGCATCCAACCTAGCTTTAAGCATGGTGTGAGCTGATAGATAATAACTGTGTTTGGATTTTGCCATCTGTGTGTTTGTTGGAGAGTGAAGCACTCTGGAGGCGCCTGCCCGGCGTTCTCCCAGTTGTCTATGAGATTGTATTTTTGGTGTTGGCAACTGTTAAACACCAGAAATAAACAAGAACCTGCATTCAAAGGACAGCAGGGCAGTAACATGGAGTTCTCCCCCTTAAATAATTAATTTTTTTAATCTTTCTGTTAGCCATGCTCTAGAATCATACACCGCTCTTCCCTACAACATGCGCAGTCCCTGCCCTTCAAACCCGATCAACCGTCCAGCTTACCAAGGCAGCAACCCTGTCAGTGATGTCTGGGCTCTTCATGCTCTGCGTATTGTGGCTAAATATTTGAAAAGGTAATACATTTAACAGCCATCTGCCTCGCAGTATGTTCTGTCTTCAGTGCCCTGAAAGGGATGCTTAGAAGAGCTTGAGTTTTAGGCTAAGTTAAGGCAAGCTGCAACATTAAACTTTCATTTTCTACCCTGGGTTTTTCTTAAATGAAGGAAAAAATTTTTTCAAATAAAATTGAAAGTAAAATTGGGGTTAATAGGTTTCTTGAGGAGGTAGCTTTTTAATGCCTCTGTGAATCTATTTTAAAAGTCCTGTTAAAGGTATTTCAAGCTCCTCAGTTAATATGGGAGCATCATTTACATATTTTTCCAAGAATCAACTTTTTATAACAGTATAACGGGAATATGTAACAAACTGAACAAAATACTGCTGATGTAACTTCTGTGACCATCAGAGTAAATTAAGATACTTACACATCTATTGAGAAGGTAGCCACATACACTTACGAATGTGCAAAATTATGCATTTATTGAAAACCTGCTCATACTTAGAAGACCTTCAATTTAGAATAAGGATTGGCTTAATTGGATGCTGATTTTGATTCCTACCAATAAAGTTTTAGCCGGGATACAGCTTTTGTATACCATGTGCCCTTCTATTAAAGATCATTGTGGAGTTTTGTTGTAAAAGACTTTTTACAGTACCTAGCTAGTCAAAATAGTTTTTTCTTGTTCATGTAGAATCTATTCACGAGACTTTTTCTCCTTGTTGTCAAAGTACACAAGGAGCCTGAGGCATAGAAAGGCAAGGAACCCTGTCTTTTTCCCACAGCAGGTGATGGGGTCTAGACCACCACCTAATGAGTGGAGTGATCCTTGAGCTGTACATAGAATGGCCAAAGCTCCAAAGTAGAGTTGTTTAAATCACCACTGAGGTTAATCTGGTTAAATTCACTCTATTTACTCAGTTTTTGGAAAAGTGAAAAGAGGCTTGCCCTTCACTGAATCAGTGTGATCTACTTAGTGATCCAGAAGCAGGATTGTTCTCTTACTGCAGTGACTTGATCCTGTTTCCAGCATTTTATCTCAGCTTATCTTAGAGGGTTTTGTCTATCTGTCCATAAAGAAGCCCTCTCCCCCTTCTCCCTCTCGAATCACCAATCTATTTGTGAATTTACTGGTGCACAGAGCCATCAGAAACCCTGAAGACCGTGAAGCAAGAGCCAACATGCATCTGGCAAGTGCTTTTGCTGGTATTGGCTTTGGCAATGCTGGTGTCCATCTCTGGTGAGTACAGACAAACAGTAACCCCATATGAGGTCAGCTTCTAGCTAGTGTTTGTTTCAGATTGTCAAAGATGTCACTGCTTTGTTGCTTAATGTATATTAAGGGATTGTAGCCTGGCCTGTGGATGCTGAGAAATTGATGGGCTTTTGGCATTTATGTGTATGAGGATTGTGTGATACTCAAATCCAGTCGTGTAAAAATTACAAAACATGGCCTTCTTTACCTTCCTTGATAGTAAAGACCACAGTAAAAAAAAAGTCAATGACATCTAAAATGTTAGATTTCATGCCAGCTTTTCTGCAGTGAGACAGAATGATGTAATCTTGTGCTTTTTCTGAACTGATGCAATTGTCTGTAAGTTTGTCTGTAGGGTAGGCAATCAGCAGGCTGAAATGAGCTGTAATTATTATTGTAAGGCAATATAGTTTCATTTGGATGAAAATCTCAGAGATTGAATTGTGTGAAGTTTTTAGCGGTCATTCTTTTCAAAGATGTTCCTTTCATTCCTTTTCTTTGAGCAAGTCTACTCTTTTAATTATACCTTAAAATTAACATTTAATTTTCTTAGGCAGTGTGATCATGTAGGGATGCAGATTATGGTATTTTTGGCATATCTGTATTATTTCAGGAACTGAACATCTTTCAGTCCAGTCAATGGAGTAATATAACTTCACACTCACAAAGTAAGGAGGTACTGTTTTTTACAGCTATGTCCCTGAGGTGCAGAGGGATGAGGTTTGTCTGTACCTGATATCCACACCATAGCTGTATGTCAATACCTTTTGAATATCTGTACTGAAAAGACTTGCATACCGAAAACTGACCACACAAGGAACTGAAAGCAAATTTTCCAAATACCAGGAGTGCTGCCCTAACCACTTGCTCTCTGCTCTCTGTTCCAGCCATGGAATGTCTTACCCTATCTCTGGTTTGGTGAAAACTTATAAACCAAAGGATTATAATGTGGATCACTCTTTAGTGGTAAAACTTGGTTTATCTTTGGTTTTGTATTGTACGTTTCAGTTGTCTGTTATGTGTCATTAATGAGCATTAAAGCATATTGAAGTTAAAAGTACATGTCTTTTTTTTTTTTTTCCCCAGCCACATGGCCTTTCTGTAGTGCTGACATCCCCAGCAGTGTTTGCTTTCACAGCACAGATACATCCTGAGCGGCACTTGGAGGCTGCAGAGATTCTAGGTAGGAATCTCTATGGATACAGCTTACATGTACAAATGGAATTCTTTCCAAAAATTCCAATTTCCAAAAATTTTTTTGAGAGGAAAAAAAAAATGTGTGCAAGCAATTGTTGTTTGTTGTTGTGAGGGCATTAAATTTAAAAATCAGGATTCTGGAGTTATGTGTAATGCAAAGTTAGCTCGAATAACACTAAATTTTGATATTGAATGATGTGGTTAGAGGAGCAAGCTGGAGAAATCAACTTCTTGGCTAGAAAACTGGACAGCTGAAATCAAAGGAAAGTGGCTGCAATTGGCATATCTCTTGGTGCTTTATGGAGAGTAGTTACCATAAAATGAACAAGTGCTCAGGTGCATTTGCCAAAAGAAAGAATTTTGCCTAACAAATTCCCTGCTGTGACAATGAATTAGAACAGGGTGGTGTTTCAAATCACTCCTGCTCTTTTTTCGTGGCACACAACTGTGGGTTTGGGTCTTTCTAATGTACGCCTAAGCTTGTTTGTAGGTGTTGGAATTTCTCAGTGGCTGATGTCAAATGTGATGGCTAAGGAGTGGATTAACAAGCCAAATGACCTTTTCTGCTTCTTAGCAGAATAAAAGTAAATGCTGCAGGCTGACAGCTCATTTAAAGGTTACCTTTTTATACAACGCTTTGTTATCAATGCAACCCATCACAAAAAGGTGTCCTAGAGAAAGGATACCTCTTAATTGCACCCCCAGCATGACAGTGTGTAATAAACCAGCTTCCAGTGATGTAATCTCAGAGCTGTTAGCAGTCTAGCTGTGACAGCCTGGCTCTGCAGTGAGCTAATTTATTTATGTCTAAGATCAGGTGTTTGTCTGCACTAGGCTCTGTGTTGTAACTAAACTGCTGCTAATACCCATGCTGGCTAAGGAGCAGTCACAGTCAAACAGGCAGCAGTGCAGAGAGTAGAGAGAAAGTGGTTAGGCCAGTTGTCCTTGTATTTGGAAAATTTGTGTTCAGTCCCTTGTATGGTCAGCCTTCTGTATGCAAGTCACAGCAATCCAGCCATATCTATGACTTGCTTGTATAAGTAATCTGAAAACATCCCCAAGAAAGAATGGGACTTTTATATAGACAGTGAAAATATCACAGTATTTTCAAGAGGTCGTAAAATAACATGGTCAGAAAAACTACATTCGGGGAAAATTCCATTTGTTTCATAAGCGCTGTCTGTGAGGATCTTCAGGCTTCCTCTAAAATATGCAGTCCTGCCTGTGGTCAAACCAGAACACAAACCTAGTTGGAATCATATGCTAAACTATTAAACGTCTGTGTTCCTACAGCAATATCACAGAGCTAAAATTAGACAAAGAAAATGTTTCTGGATGACTAGTCACCACAGCATATCAGAGAATTTGAACTCTGGCTCTTGATTTTAAAACAAGTGGCTGAAAAGCAGTTCCTTTACATTTTGTGGTATTAACTGCTGCTATAAATTCTGTCTCTAGAAGTTCTGTTAATTTTGTCAGTAGAAATTTTAACTATGTCATTGTGTGCCTTGCTGTAAAGGGACTCTGCCGAAAACGTGTCACAGGGAATTGAATTTATTACTTCCCATCTGGGGTGTTTACTTCTGATTCCAGTCCAGAGTCTAACTGACTACAGTAGCTGATTCAAATCTGTCATGTTGCCAAATGTAGTGACTAAGAAGGTATTTTATGACATGAAGCAGATTACTAAATAGTTATGTTATGTGTAGGTACAACTGTGAATTTGGGTAGATCCAGAAAAATCTTAATACCTCCCTGGGTGGATTCTTAAATAGTTGAAATAGGTGTGCGTGTGGTCAGAAATTTTCTTAAGTGCAATCAAAGACTGATGTATCCTTTAGGTTGAGCAAAAAGAAAGTTCTAGAACTATAGCAATATTTTAAAACTGCTGGTCACATTTACTGTCATGTTTTATTCTCCTCCTTTTGCCTTTTACTGTACTATCTGAAGATAGTGTATTTATTTATTTATTATTTATTTATGTCTCAGTTACTCCTCCATAGCAAAACCCAGGATAAACTCAGACTTCATGCCATAATCCTCATAGTACAAGACTCTGTCATATCTTATTTATCAATTTCTCCCAGACATTATCTGCTATAGCACTGACAGTCCTACTACCCAAATATCTGAGCTCTTCAAATGAGCTTGTAGGTCTTCTGTTCACTTTAACTCCCTTTGAATGTTCCACTGAACTGTGTGAGGACCACAGGAAGTGTTTTCCCTGTAGCTATTTAGTGCTCTTACTCATCTCTCAGTATGGCACTTGGACCTAACATAGTTCTGGTGTAACATCATTGAGGTTACACAGAGAAGCAGTTTAGCTTGGGTTACTTTGAAAAAGAAATCATATGGAGGAACCTGTGTCTTTTGTCTGGACATGCTTTTATTATTACTTTTAAGTAAGTCCTGACCATTCATCGAAAAAGGGGAAGCAAGCTATTCTGTAAGAAATATTAATAATCTTTCTTTTTATATCAATGTTTTCATTACTGTTCCATAGTTGTTTCAAAGATATCAGTTCCTCCCCTTCAGTTCTGCATCATCCTACACAAGTCTGCACATACTCAAATTAAATTTAGGATTTACTCAGCCCCCTGAACACTTCCCTGCCATCTCCTGCCTTTTTCAGCCTACATGCTCTAGTCCTGTATGTGAATCTGTAATTGAACAGAAGAGCCCTCTAGATGTCAGCAAACTCAAGGCATTAAAATGAAGTTAGCATTTGGCACACTGTCCATAAAAATAAATACCACTGACGTTCATGCGCTAGCTTCTTTCCTCCCAGCAGTTAGTCAGTCTGAAAAGTGCTTCTCCCTGTAAGCACAGAGGAAAAGGAAGTTAACCTCATGTGGCAGTTAGTCTTTTTGGCAGCATCTACCTGCTTCTGATCTTGTTTTATTTCACCTTTCGCAAACTATTCCAACTGTAAAATGAAGGCTGATTCCTCTTTTTACTTCATGTTGCTTTTACGGCAGTGACTGCTGTGTATGGATATGTATTCAGCTGATATTATGATTAAATTAAGTCCAGAACAGGCTTCCTCCGCTCTCTCCACCCTACAGTCAAGGCATTATGTCTTATTTTAGGAGCTGACATCCGCACTGCCAGAATCAAAGATGCGGGGTTTATTTTGGCAGACACACTCCGGAAATTCCTATTTGATCTGAATGTTGATGATGGCTTAGCTGCAATTGGTTATTCCAAAGCAGACATCCCTGCATTAGTCAAAGGCACTCTGCCTCAGGTAAGACAGAAAGCAAAACAGTTTTTCTTGTCAAATAAAATAGAACAGATTCTGGAAAAACCAGAATTGCTTCTTTTCAAGCAAATGTTATTTCTATTCCTACATGAAAACAATTACAGATAGTCGACTGTGTTTTGTTTCATTCCACAGTTTAGGTTTTTCTTTTCAGTGGGATTGAGTGAATGCTGTACTCTGTAATGGGTAAATGTTCGGGGTTTTTTTTAAATGTCACGTTTTTGAAAAAGAGGATTTTTTCATAGACCTTTGATCTTTGTAGAAGATACTGCTTTTTCCTAACTGTCTCTGTTAATTATGTATGCAGATGGGCTATGGATAAAGCCTTAATACCAAGTGCTATCTGGTAAGAATGACCGAGCTTACTTTACATTAAACTTTCCATATTGAGAAGTTGCATTTTTCTTCCCAGATGGCTTTTTTGCTCCATTGACCCCCATCAGAATTTGAAATAAGGTCCCCTGGGATGACATAGATTAAACTTGTGATATTCTTTATTGTTTCAGGGCCCACAAAGACATTACAAACAGCAGCACACCACTCTAAAAGCAAAATCCAGTGTCTTCCTTGTAAAAAGAGAGTTTGATTCATGTACTATGAACTCTTCTGTCCAGCTAGTATTTATTTCCACCAAGTTGCAAGGGAAATAAACATTATGGAGAAAGTGAAAATTTTTTAGGCCAAAAGGTTATTCGTTTTTTACAGCAGACCTCTTACTATGTCTAGTTCTTCTCAATCATAAATCTCAGAGCAACTTAGAGCAGTTATATTAACAGTAAATATTAATATTCCTGTTTATACCTGAGAAAATGACACAAAGGTGCAACTATGTAGGATCACACACACAGAGTGGTGGCAAAGCCAGGGAGAAAACTAAGGTCTCTGAGCACCCATCAAATAGGTTATGCATGTAAGTTGTTACGGGGCATTTGGGGGGTTTGTTTAGATAAATATGTTTCTTTAAAACAATTATGTTTAGGTCATCATAAGCAAAACATCTCGTTGAAGACTAGTTTTGCATAGCTGGGGGAGGGAGAAGGTTCTTCTCCAAAAGATGTTGAAAGGTTTTTTTGTTTGTTTGTGAGCTTAGCTCAAATTGACTTTTCATTCATTTACTGTGGTCTCATGGCATTGATGATTGTAGTGTGTAAAATGAGTTGACCTGAGAGTTTCTCAACCTGTATTTTTGTATATAAGATGTTACATGATGAAAATGTATTAGCCACAGAGTTAGTCCATACAGTTTAATCTTTGGTATATATTTTTTTTGTTTTCATCTTGCAGTAGGTTTGCTTTGGAATACAGCACTGACCCACTCATGTCAGCAAAGCAGTGTGATGCAGTTGTTACAGCACTAAAAAGTGTGCAAAGTTTATTCCATGTTGCGAAGTGCAGGCTGCAAGAAAACAAAACTAATCTGACTGTCAGAATTTATGTGGGAAGTCTGTTGGGGCAAACACCTGTACTTGAAGTTAAAACAGAATTTATTTTCCTTCCTAAGTGAGCCTATTGAAATTGATCCTATTTGCAGAGAGCAGTGATTCTGGCAGAAGATGCTTTCTTGATGTCTAAGGTGGCTGGCCTTGTGGTGGTGTTTCAGAGGAGAGGATGAGAGAAAATGAGAGAGTGGAAAAGCTGTTCTCTGGCCCAACCACCCCTGAAGACATCCCAGAGACAGCTACAATGGGGCTGAACCAGTGATGAGCCTTGAGCTACTCAGTTTTGGCACTAAACCAGAATGCACTGAGTCAGATTAAGGGAGCCAGGGCCTTGCTGTCTGGGCACCAGCAAATATCAGCAAGCTTGTGCAGAAGTAGTGCTGGTGCCTCTGTGTCGAGGCATAAAGGAAGAGCATCCGTTTGCAGCCTTCTATCGATATAGCTGGGAAATGCTACATTCTGTCAGGCTGATTGGCTCCTGTCTCCCGGTGTGGCTTTACAGATAACTCTGGCCATTTCGGTGCACAGAGCTGCAAAACTGTACTTTGGCCCACAGTGTCCTACTGTAAGCCTGATGAATTTATGAATATTTGAGCACTGAGTTGTTATATTTTGTATATTATGAGTCTGAAAAAAACCAACACACTTTTGCCGTAGTACTATTTGAATTTTCCATTTGGTTTCAAAACTGCATAGAAGAATCTTAAGCTTCTCTCCAGCTGGATCTGTGTGTCTAGCAACACTGGTCAGGGATGGGGAAAGAGGTACCATTTGATTGCTACTTATGCACCAGCAAAGCTTCTCTTGTAGCTAAAATAATGCACACAAAGCTGCACTTTTCATACTCATCACAAGCCGTGCTAACCATGATTATGAACTGTGAATACCTCACAGCTGGCTTCCTCACCATGCTAGACCAATATTTCACATTAAGTTTGCAGTGTGGTGGTACTCTTGCTGTGTAACCACATCCAGCCTGCCCACAAATCGCATCCCTGCGGGCTGAGGGGGAAGTGGAGCGGCTGCAGCATTGCACTGCGGCATCACCCCAGGCAGGGGTGTGTGCTCCACCCGGATGGCAGCTCAGCTCAGCCTCCCACTCAGGCAGGGGGCTGGAGGAGCCCCTTCCCCAGCATCCCACTTGGTGCATGAAGCAAGGACCTTAGCAAATGACATCCACTGTCTCACATGTGAAAAAGGGGAGAGAGATTTAAAGCTGGGGACAGCATCTTCCACAAGGGAGTTGTTGAAACAGGTTGTAGCTGTAGAAATTTCCTCTTGCCAAAATATACCACATTCATCTAAAGATACTGCATTCGTAGTAGTAAGTCTGGCTTCTGTCTTTGTAGACATTTCTAACTCTTTCCAGTATTTCAGTAAATGTTAAAATCATTGGTTGCTGGAAACAGAAGTGCTAATCATAACCAGTATGAGTACGTTAGCATTAGGCCCTTTCAGCTGAGTGTTTCTGCAGTACCCGAACACCTACACTAATACAGCTCCTCATCCTCAGTAGCACGGGGCTTTTCTGAATTTCCACCCCTGCCTTTGTGGTTATTTTGTCCAGCAGAGCAGTGAAGCAAATACCTGGGTTTCATTTCTGTCAGTGGTACTTCAGCACCTACAAATTCGGTTGAATCACTACCCAAATGAAGGTCAACCACAACTACTTTGTGTTCTGATTACAAGGTGTCAGGCTGTTCATTAAGAAGTTTCATACCATATCTTACCGTGTCCCTTTATTGCAGTCTGAGTTACAAGCGCTGTTTGCTCTGCCCATTTACAGCAGTTCCTGGGCCTTGAGAGATGTTGTGTTTTGAAAGTCTTGGTCCCTAAAACTCGAACTCCTGGTTCCAATGCTGGCAAATGAATTTTAAAAGGGACTGTGTTTCCAAGATAATATCCTCCAGCGTACTGACATCTTGACGGACAAGGCCCGTGTTTGCAGTACTTGACTCTGCAACTGAATGACATTCTAATCTTGCTTCTCTGTATTTAATTATAGGCAATTTTAGGTAATATGTTCTTGAAAGTCCTGTACAGTTGACGATGCCTCAACCTTAATTACTTGATTACTTATTTGCAAAACCTTGTTGTTCTCTGTAAAGGATGTAGTACAGAAACACATAATTCAGCTACTGTTTGATTAATTTTATTGGCAACCTTATGTAATTTAGTTTTTCTTTAATCTTGTAGGAGAGAGTGACTAAGCTATCACCACGTCCCCAAACAGAAGAGGACTTATCAGCTCTCTTCGAGGCTTCCATGAAGCTTTATTAGCTTAAACTTTGTGTTCTGAAAAGTGTGCTCTATTCTAACAGAGAGGTAATTTCTTACAGATACAGCGCTGAATTTGTTTAGAGCATGGAAGAACTTGGGTATTTTTGACCTCTGTTCCATTGTACACTGCAAAAAGGTCATGCAATTCATCTTTAACTAAACAGTGCTTTGAAGTGAAGACTTGACAGTGGTTTCTTTTTTGCTCAGTAGTCAGTGGTATTGACTTGCATAAAAGTTGGAGCAGATTTCTTACAGTAGTGAAGGCTTTCTTGTGCTTTAGAGATGATCAAAGGTGGAAAAATGTTTTAAGGGATATTCCAAACCATTTTGCAAATTATACTTCTATTTAAATTATCCGTGATTTTGTTCTGAAAAGTCATGCTAGTTACAAAATAAGTAAGATCATTATTAATTAGGGAGGGGGAGTTCCCTGCAGAAAATGTCAGCTTACTGTATTCTGTTCTGCTTATCATCATTTTACCATCTGGTTTTGCTAAGAAGGCTATTGAACTGGGGTACTTCTTTTATTGTTTGGTTAAGAAAAAAACTATACACTTTCATAGTTGTTTGGAAAAGGCTTCCCGAAAATTTGTTTTGGGTTAAAATTCTCACATGTATTGTCAGATATTTATCTTTCCTTTTAGGATCTATGTGAATTGTTCATCAGAGGAATAAAATCAGAGTAAAATGGTCACATGCTCAACAGGAACCGTGTAATAGCAAGACAGTATCCATCATGGTCATTCTGTCTCTGGAGACAAGAGCTCCTTTTTCCTGCTGTGTTCTGTGGAAGGAAGCTCTCAACTGTGTCTTACTTTGCTGTGAATCAATTGCTTCTGCTGAGCTCTTGCAGGTGCTGTCCCTCACAGTGCAGCCACCAGCTTAAGGAAGTGGCTGTGTGCTGTGGTTCAATATTAAAAATTGGTGGTGAAGCATATGGCTGCACAGTGCCCTGTGGGGAGCACTGGTTAATGTGGGAATGAGCCTGCACCTTCAGAGCAGTTAACCAGCTGGTTGACTGTCAACTGAGAAAGGGAAGTGGGGAAGGGAGAAATGAAACTAAAATTTTAATACTATTTTTCTTTTTTAAAAAGGTTCATGTGGTTGTGTGTACAGTTCATTTAAATCAGTTTCTGCTTTGTGTTGAACTCTTTCAGCATCTGATTCATGCAGCTACCACAGCACAAGACAAATGTGAGAAGAACCCCATAACCTCTCGTGTGCTTATTTCTTTGTGCTGGGAAGGGAGCACTTTTCAGTCACCCTGTTGAAGTAGAAAGCTCTATACTTTCACCTTTGCATTTAGATGTTTGTCTGATCAAGCTAGTGCTGTCCTAGAATCTGAGAACAGGTGTGTACTCAGTATTGACACTGGATCTGTTTTAGTGCTGTTAAAATAGGTGGATGGATGCTATGGTTGAAGCCTGGTTGTTTTTAGCAACAGAACAGGTTTAGTTGCCATAGGACTGCACTGCCAGTATGCCTCAGCCTGTGCTGGGATACACATCTGATTTCCACATCCTTCTGAATCTTTTTCCTCTGCTGAAATTGCCCACAAGTACCTCTGTCATGAGGGGTGATGTAATAGCAAGAGATTCACTTTGTTATATTGTGCAAAGCTTCCACGTTTTGGAAAAAAACCCTTTTTGTCAAAACCTTCTGTCAAACCCTGTCATTCAAGGTCAGGCTGGATGGGACTCTGAACAACTTGGTGTAGTGGAAGGTATCCCTGCCCATGGCTGGGGGATTGGAACTAGATGATCTTTAAGGTCCCTTTCAACCGAAACCATTCTGTGGTTCTATATAAACTTTTGGCCTGTTTTGTCTTTCCACTCCTGTCTTTCTCCAAGCTGTAGTAGCAATACGGTTTCCTGAAGAGAGAATTTTTTTGTCCAGGAGCCTAATTCATGGCAGTCATGCTGCATTTAGGGAGAATACACTTCTGGGGAACTGAGCAGCACTCAGTGATTTCATCACTTCAGCAGGCACTTTGTTGGGCTAGTTAGGGAGGTAGGATATTTCCTTCCAGCACACTTTTTATTTGCCATTTATGCCAGTATGGCAGTTATTGGCAGGCTGCATTTCCACCTGACAGAACCTCACACTTAACTTCCTATACCAGGTAACCCAGAGCTCTTGCTAGTTTTTAAATTAAACCTCATACCCCCTCTGATATCCATATTTTGCAGGTGAGACAAAGGGTTTGATGTAATACCTAACCCAACTTAAGCAGATGGTGCTGTAAGAAGGGCCCTTTCTGTCTTCCACAGCCCTTTCGCAGCATCAGAGTCTCCAGCTGACTTAAACTGGTTGTGAAGTCTCACTCACGGATATCAGCTACACAAGTAGTGGTTTTCCCACCACCAGTTGTTAGTTACTAGTGCAAATTTGCTAAGGAAAAATCGGGGGAGCTCATGTCACCCCACGGTGCTGTCTTTCAAATAGTGGTGATGTGACAGGGAGTCACGCCCTGGCTCACAGGCAGTTGTAGTTTTATTCGCAGCTGAAGAGTTGTGTGGAGTTTTTCATGTATTATCTTACTAAATTACTCTGTACTGAAACAACCTAGTTGGTCAAATGTATCTGTATCTTTGAACATGTCGATTCTGTGCATGAGTCTGGCATTTGTATGGGGAGCTGGGGTGACACTGTAATTCTGAGTGTCCAGCAGTGATTTGGCATATGGGCGGCTTGTTCTTCTGGCTCTTGTTACCACTCTGTTACTCAAGCCCTCTGTGATAAATCTGTTACTATGTTTAGATGATGCTGAAATGCAAATAACAAAAATAAACACAAGCTTGTTTGAAAGTGTTTGAGAGCAGTGTTTAACTCTGTCACGTTTAGTTGAATCCTACAAGGTAACTATGAACCAAAACTATTCAGAGGAGGAGGCTTTCACTGGCTTCGTTCCATAATGATTCCTCCTGCAAAGTCACTTGCCTGGTGAGCTTGGCACTGTGCACCCAAAAACGTTGTATCATGGATGAGAACTGAGAGCAGTGGTAGAGGCATTCCGGAAGTAAAAGCTTCTGAACTGCTGCATGGTATTTCTGTGAACATTTAAGACTGCTTCTGCATAACCAGTACACAATACATAACCAGTAGATAATCAGTTGTAAATATTATTACAACATATTTCATGACAACACTGTTGATCCTTGTACATCATACTTGCTAGCAGTAGGGCTTGATTGAGTCACTCCTCTTCCTTGTGGGGTCAAAGACTTACTTTCTGCCTTAAACAGCTGTAACTATATAAAAGGATTTGTCAGTCTGTATATAAAGAAGAACAAATGTCCAGTTCATATAGACCATGGGTTTTTAATAGGTTTTAAGTAAGCATATATGTCAGCTATTCAGTCATGACAAAAGGATGGTTTGAAGAAGCTTTAGGGACTCCTTTTAGAGTAGGAGTTATCACATTCATGATTCTTGCTGTGGACATTCACCTGCTATTTCTTTTCCCTAGTCTTGTATTCTCTGAGTTCTGTGCAGGCAGACACAAAACAAAACCTGGCCCATCTGGTTACTCACTCAGTCCATCTACAATAATAAGATTAGCTTTGGGGAGCAAGTGTGAACGAGTGCATATGACAGTGCTGGTGAAAGTAGTTTACCACTGGATATGTTTTCACCTGGAGTGCACAAAATGAAAAGCTCACTCCACTCCCCTCACAAGGTAGAGCTCACAGGGTCTCTGCTTGGGATTATAAAAATGAGAGCAGTTGGTACAGTAGTTTGTCCATCCCCTCTTTTCCCTTGCCTCTTCCCATTCCAGTGCTGATTTTACCAGCATTTAAAGCAAAAAGACAATGAAACAAAAAATATGTAATCAACATGCCTAAATCTCCAAAAACTCTCACTATCTTCCTGTGTGAATAAACTTGGAAGAAACTACAGATAGGTTATCGTGTATGCTCATTCCTTGTTGCACCATCCTGTGCCAAGTCTGTCATCCTCTGTCTTGTAGTTGGCTTTTCCTCCCCCTGAGACCTGAAGAAACAGATGAGAAAGAGCAATGGTTAAGGGACACAGCCCAGCTCTGTCTAGGCCCTCTCCATAACCCCCGAGTAAATCTGCTTAAGCATCACAGTGCTCCAGGACACGTGCAGTGTGCCTTGGACTCAACAGCTCCCACCTAGTAAATCTGTCACTGCATTAAGTGTTGTCTGTGCAGAAGGGACAAGGGCAATCTGATGCAATGCAGCAAGAGGCCTAAAGGTAGGGTCTCCATTTTTCCTCAGACCATCCCTATGAGCTTTCTAAAGGAAAAGGTACTTATTTTAAATCCAAACGCCAGCTAGTGAATGCAGAAAGCGATGCCACCATTTTCCTGATCTCTCCAGGAGCTGTAGTTCATGCAGCAGCACACAAACTGCTTGTTTGCTGCAGTGTCAGCCCTGAGCAGTGAGAAGAGAGTCTTCCACACCAACTCACCCCTGCTAATCCTTCCTCGAGACCTGGTTTAATCTTTGATGTACCACCAGGCCACCTACAGAAGTAGTAGTTTCTCTTTAAGTAGTGGTGTGGTGGGACTGTCAGTGACTGAATTTGCAGACTCCATCTGCGCATTGGGTTGCAGCGTACATGTGAGAAATCACACAGGGTCGGTTTGTTACAAAATGTTTAGTGCATATTTTTATGTGTAGTGGTCCATGAAAATAAGCAGAAGCTTCTACTGCTGCTCTGAATTTCTCAGTGAAATTGAGACACAAAAAAAAAGCCCAAAACCTGGGCTATCATTAGGAACACTACAGTTCCCTTAGATGCAATGTTTCTGAATGCAGTTTTATATTTTACCAGTCCCAGTATCCCATTAAATAGTCTTCTAAAATGCAATTCTGGTTTTTTTTCCCCATTGAACAGAAACAGCTACCACGAGTGAGTTGGTAGAAAATGTTTACAGCCAAATAATAAGAGGGACAACCATTTGACACAGCTCAATGGAACGTTTATCAGGTTCTCAAGTTAACTGCTTTCCTAGGTGGAGGAGAGGGAGATTAAAACAAATACTTTCAGTCTCTAGTTTCTATGGAAAAATTACATGTACTCCATTTTCAGAGAACTCTAATTACAACAAATGGCAGCAGATATTTTCCTTATTTCTCTAATATGAAATTAAAGGGGAAAAATTAATGTACATCCATGAGGTGGCACAGTTAAGTGAAAGCAGAGGAAACATGACATGTATCCTTTGAGGATAATTCACGTGGTAATTCATGTCACCCTGTAGAACCACACAGCTTGGTTCTGTGGTCATGTACTCTGACAGCATGTGCACAACCAAAGTCAGCTGAGCAGTGACAGAATGCTGGTTGTGCTGACCCTGTAGTCTGAGCTCCCATTGAATGTTCAATTTAATCTAATACTCCTGTATCATGAAATATATATATATCATAGGACAAACTGGTTTATTGATGGGGAACTTTTTCTCTGTGTTCCCTGACCTGCAGTGACTTTGACCTACTTTGACAGTGCACTTGTGCTTTTTCTGGGGTACTCTGTTTAGATGTTTGACCATACAGCCTTAAATTAGCAACTTGACATTGAAATGCTGATTTACACCTGCAGTCAAATGGATAACACATGTTAAAGACTGATTGTCAGCAGCTTTAATACGTTATCGCTTCATTCTGTGGCATTGTCACTTGCCTTTATGGGATTTAAGGAAAACATTGTGTGTCATTGTTGGTATGGCTATGGACACAGCTGTGGGGGGCTGACACTGTGTATGGACTTTGTCATTTATCTAAAAGCTGACATCACTTTCAAAAAACCACTGTGAAAGGTTGGATGTTTAAGTGTTGCTGTATATTTTAAGATAGCATTGGAAATAAAGAAGCTTTTTTGATTGCATAAAAAACCAGTTAACATTGAATAACTTGCTCTTCTGACCTTTTCACCTTAAGAAAGATTAATGGTTGTTTAGATAAGAACTTCCCCCCCCAGCCCAATCAGGGGTCTGAATGCTTCAGGGATTCAAATAGACAAAGAAAGTCATTTCACCTCTAGGTCACCAGCACAGACCTAGGGTGTCTCACTAGTGACCACTAGATGATTGCTCAGTTGTTTATGTGCAAGAGTTGGTGGTCATAATCCATTTTCCAATGGACAGGTTCCTGCCTCATGAAAGCTGTCACTACATGCTTATCCAAGCAGCAGCAAATGGGAATTAACATGAAGAGAGCCTGAACTGCATTTGCCTTACACTGCTGAAACCTCAGAGCCTCTGTAACGCTTGTTTCAGTGGATCAGAGCCTCCCCAGGAAGGGTCAAAGCCGTGTCAGTGCTGTGCTGTGAGCGGTGGCACTTCAGTGTTCCCTTCCAGAGGGCTGCAGCCTCTGCTCCCACCTCTGGAGCGTGTGGGTCCCGTTCAGACACACTCACAGTGGCACCATCTGCATTTCGGGCTCTTAGGACATCCTAGAATAACACATCCCACAGCCTTCATGTAGCCATCTCCCGACGTTAGTTCTTGGTGTGGTCAAGCTGGTGTACTTCATACCTACTGTACTTGTATTTTAAATGGAAGTCCTAAAATTAGGACTCCTCCATTGGCAAAACTGAGCAGAGAGCTAGTGGGCAGATTTTGATAGTAAAGTAACCGTTTGTGACTTCTCATGTCAGAAATTATAACATCACCAACTGTAAAGCACGGTTTGGGGACCTAGCCAAAAGAGCCAAGCTAAAATCACCAAAGCGCCAAACAAAGGCAGCACAGGGTCGGCTGATGGGCATTTAAAGTCTAAGTATGTCCTTCACCAGAGACATCTGCATGCACACAGCAAGCAAGGCAATGGGAAAAACTGACATGAGTGCAAACATCTGCATAAAATTGTTCACGGCTGAGACATTGAGCGTGAATATATAACATGGTTACACGCTAGAGAGAGAGAAAGTTGAAATGCTAGGATCCGGGAGTCTACTAATTTTGGCTGACCAAGTTGAGAGGATATATGAACATCAGACTTCAGGGTGACATCTAAGATCAGAATATGCATTTTAAAAAACATCATAAAAACCTGAAGGATGAGGAATCTACACCTATATAGTTATTAAGGAGAATGTGCCATGTCCATTGCAAAGCCCAAAAAACTCTTTCCTGTTCCCTTTTGGTTTTCTGTCACCCAGGGTTACCTCTGTACCGTACTTTCCTCATACTGGACAGAGCAGCAGAACAGATTACAAGTAGAACTGAATTAATAAAGGTAAATGCTTAAGTGTAAAGGCTAATGGGAGAGAGGAAAAAGACAAGTAAAGATCAGTTCTGTGAAAATCAGAGATCTCAGAGGCTGCTGCGTGACTTGTACTGACCTCCATGAAGCTTATGAGATTGAAAATCCTCTCCTATGTATTTGCAGCATTAATTCCTCTTGTTATCTGAGGTGATCTACTTTAATCAGATTCCTACAAACAAGTCGAGTACTTACAACAGAAGATCTTTGACACCCCTTCTTGGCAGCATCAGTAGAGAGGACAAAGACCAAACCAGCAGGGAGATCAGATAAACCATCTCATCTCTGCAAAAACGTTTAGGATAATTGGCATCAGAGGAGGTCCCCTCCCTCCAGGTTCATACGTGCATGCTCTATGGTCATGTGATGTAATGGTTGCACAAAAGCTACCTCAAAATTCTCACATTTCAAAGACTGGTGCTCCCATGCTGTTTTAAAACCTCCTCTGTTGCAGTGCCATCTCCTGTGCTACCTTGCTGCTTCACACAGGCCCGTAGCTTAAGTCTGGATCAAACAGGGATTCACAAATTTGATCCTCCTTATGTGCCCTTAATACAGCTTCTATTTCCTATTTTCTAAGTTTCTGGAACGGGGGTTTCTGAGTGCCAGTAATGATGGTCCTTGTTCTAGTGCCCATTTTCACACAGAACTTGAGCCAGAGGAGGCAATGCCATTTGATACCTTCCAAAGACTTTCATCCCCACAAAGCACATGTGTTGCACGTGGCAAAAGGAGCTTGATGGCTGTGTGAGGACATACTAGAGACATGTAAGGTGACAGTTCAAGTTGCCTTATTATTTAGACTTATCCATTGGAGAAATCCTAAGTATTCTCTGCCTGGTTAGCCAAGCAGTGGATTTTACTGCATATGGTGTGAGACACAGTACGCAGTAAGAGCAAGAGGGCTACCACTGCATAAATCCAGGAACCACAGGACAAGCTTTTATTAACATGCTTGTTTGCCCAAAAATGGTTATGTTCACAGCAGGAGCCAATAGTCAAAATATTCTAAAGAAAAGAAAACAAGAGTGAAAAAACCCATACAAAAATCCCTGTACTTTATCAGCGGAATAAAGACATCTCTGATCAATTAGCCTGAAAAATTAATATATCAAGGACAAATGTAATAAAGTTTAGCATTTTAATCAGCTATTGTTGTCACAGCCCAGTTTGGACATATCGCTCCTTTGTTGACATTTTTAATGCTTTCTGTGAATTACCAGTACATGACCAGTATATGAAAGCTTGTTAAGCCTCCACGTGCTCAGCCTGGCTTTAGCTTTAATACTGGCTTAGTGCAATCCCTTCTGCTGGCACAAGCTCTGCGGGACTTGAACCTTGCAGTCCTGGGCATTGTGTTTCTTGATAATCATCATATGGACTTACTCAAGTGTGTTTTACAAGCTTAGGGCAAATTTGTGAATGCCCAATTATCTATATTTAACTTTTTTAAGAGAAGCCAACCAGACTTGTGGTTTTTTCTTTTGTCAGGATCCTGCAATATCTTCCCGTAACTAGTGGGGGGATGCTTTCAGCCTGGCTTCCATGTCTGGCTGGTATTTTCTTTCCTGACTAGCAGAGAAGTCTGTGCATTAGTCCTTCCAAACTAAAGAGCTCTTGCATCTCTCTCACCTGGTCCCCTGTAGTGAGTATAAAGTTCAAAATATTTCTTAAATGCCTCAATCTTATTCCCATTCAGGAAAAATCTGTTACAGCAACTTCTAGCCAGATGCAAATTCAAATGTTACTTTTGACAATTCTTCACTTATTCACAGATCTTTCAGCCATGCAGTGCTACTTCAATTTTGAACTAGATTTTCAGTCTCCTACAAGTGGGAGGTGAAATTATCAATAGTGTATCTGTCTCTCTATTCCTTTCATTTAGAGAAAAATAATGGATTATGTATGAGAAGCTCACTTTCTATTTTGCTTTTTTTTGTTGTTCGTTTTCCTTTTCAGTCATTTGCAGTTGCAATTCTCTGGCCCTAGAATGAAATGAAGCAGTTTTCCTTCCACAAAAAGTGGTGCTGGCACTGCATTACACGGAAGTGTTTTAGAGTAGATGCCTGCAGCATGCATGTGCAGTTTTATCCCATCTTATTTTTAAATGGTTATCTGTGCATCACTCTGGTTCACAATCCCATTCCAAAAATATCTGAGGTTTATCCTTATCATATTCCCCAGCTAACAGTAAGAAATAGGCTCAAGGGGCTCAGTACAGATTAGATTTGCCTCTTATACAACGAGGTACAAGATCCAGGTAGAAGCCAGAGACCTGCCTTGGGAAGAGCTCTGTCCAGGGAATCCCTTGGCAATATTCCTTGCCTATACGGGGAGTACCAAGATGCTTCCCACTAAGTTCACGGGAAGAATGCTGTGTTGAAAAGGGATTAATTTGTTCACAGAGGCCAGGATAAATAAGGTCTAGAGGTTCTGACACTTATCTTAAATCACTCAAAATTCTAAAGTTTTTGTAACCATATTTGAATTTTTATTCGATTACTTTTAAGTTTATCAGCTCTGACATACTTGGTAAACAGGACAAGCATCTACACTTGTTTCTTCCAAATGTATCTGAACAGATTCAGCCCTTGGGAAAAGCACTCTTGCCAACTCCCCAGAAGGACATTTCACCAGTTTATGGGATTTTCTGCCATGTTTACCAGGGTCACTGAGCCTCCTGCTGTTTTCAAGAGCTGTTTTCCTCTCAGCCTCAGCAAATATCTCTTTTCCTCCACCTTTATTTCCTTCCTACCCACATTCCCAAGAATCAAATACCTTCCCTGTCCCAGACTTGCATATAAGGTTAGATGGGTGTTTTGGCAGACACCATATGTCTGTTCTTGTGTCCTGAGTTCTTCTCCTCCTCCTCCTCCTCCTCCTCCTCTTCCTCAGTTGTCCCTCTTCACCTTTGGTCACCCTGTTCTTGCACCAGCAAACATTTTGATCCTTTTCTGTCAACACTGAGAGTTCAGCTATTTGGTAAACTGCTATATCACAGCTAGGAATCTGGATTCCACGTTTGCTTGGGAGTCTTCAGTCAAAGATATACCCTGGTGCCAAAACTTCTTTGGGTCTTCTCATGGCTGCAGGGGCACCATGTGAATTAAGTTAATAGCTTATTAATTGTCTTTAGCAATGAGGAAAAAAAATTGAGCCTGGTCTCTAGATGTTTTATGTAGTTTGGGGAACAAAACAATGATTCATGGAGTCAAAAATTGTTTGGTTTCCTGCTCCCAGCACAGACTGGACTCTTGTTAGGTCAGTAGGGAGCCAAAGGGAGACACCATATGAAATTGTCCGATATGGCTCTGCGAACAGTTCCTAGGTTGGACACTGTGGAGAGTTATCTCCCTCAAGTCTAAGATTACTGCCTGCTGTTGTTCAGCAGGTAGCATGCAGTCGAGCTTTGTAGTGCAAAGCTTCCTTGTTATTACACCCATTTTATAGCTAAACCAGGACATTTGCCCAAAATATTTCACAGACAGGTGGAAAAAACATAGCCCAATATGTGCAGTCGTTTTCTTGAAGCCACATTAAGATTTCCTGCAAAACTCTGGGCATTCATAGTGCTCGACTATGCTGTAAGATCTGGACAAAATAAGGCAGCAAACTCCCTTTCATGACCAGAGGAAAATTCATTCCCAAATGAGGATCCCTGATGAGAGATGCTATATTTGCCCTCCTAAAGCCTATTTTTCAGCTTGGAAGTGAGGTGAGAGCCTTTTTATCAGCTCCTTGTACAGAGTGACTCATCCCCAGAGCATCCTGTGCCTGTAAAGATGTGTTCAAAGCCTACTTGCCCTGTAACACAGTGAATGCCAACTAGTAACAACCTCTTGAGTCTCACTTCAGTGTCCACATTCCCACCACCCCTTGACAGCATGAAGCACCCAATACTTGTTCTAAAGTTAAACCTCATCTACTATTTGAAAATATCTCTAGGTCATTCCTAGAACTAGGAAACCAATGATTTGGATCCAAAAGTACCCCTCTTCTCATAAGACTATGAATATCTTGAAGGTGAAATAAAGGGTGGGTTAGATTTGTTATAGCCTTTTTTTTTTTTTATCGACTATTCAGTGTTGGTCTTCATTATTTTTTTTTTATTCTTTTGAAAGCTTTAAAGCCTCCTGCATAACCGCGTCTGCCCCATTCACTGCTGAATGGACGGTGCGCTGATCTTTTTCTCGGTGGGTAATGGATTTGGTTTGATTGCTTGACACAGGAACAATAGGGGGGTAAACAATTGCCTTCGCACCCGTGCAGCTCCCCATCTGTTGAGTGTGTGTGCCTTCAGAGGCAGCCGGGCAGGGACAGATGAACGTGCCAGCCGAGCCTGATGTTAATGACATCAGTCATACAAGCAGAACATGTGGCGCAATAAATCAAAAACTAATTGAACTTTTGGTTGATTATATTGCCGTCCCACCGCCCACTTTAAGCACGGCACGGTTTCCTGAGACAATGCCCCCAGCACCACAATGGCTTTGCTACCGCTGGACAGCAGGAGCCTGCCCTGGGAGGTGACAAGAGATAACAGCTTCTCTTCACTCATTGCTTTCCTGAAACAGCGACACCTTCCACTCAACCAAAATTTCCAGGCTCAGGATGTGTATTTGACCAGTATTTATTATTTCGAATCAGAAATGTTCATCGATATGACAATGACAGCCCATGTTCACTGACACTTTCCGTCTGGGACTGTTGGTGGCAGACCTCTATTATAGGAGAAGACAGCTCTTGTTTTTGTGTTAATTAGACACACACGTGGTAGTAATGGAGGCTATTCATTAGACTGATATAATTTAATATCATTATTCACACTTGAAAGTGTTCCTACTACATCAGTTGCTAGAGCCTGCAAGCCAAAATTTTTTGTCTTAAGTGTCCGTGGCAGCAGTAAGTCACCAGAAGTTGAGGGGGCTGATATTCAGAGGTGGAAAAGAACAATTTCTAATAGGAGCATTAAGGAATGAAAAGCTTTGGCAAGAAGACCCTTTATTGAAGTGCATAAATATGGGATTAGGCCCCAGAACTATCAAGTCATGTAGGAACCCAGCTATGACTGAGCCACCTGCCCTCCGTCTGCAACCACGGAAATGTAGGGGGCATAGAGACCTATGCACATCTGCCTGATGTGCCCTTTCTTAGTCATCTGCATTTGAAATTTTCCTTTGAAATGCCCAGGATTCTGGTACTTTTTCATGAAATTAAAAGGTAAAGCACAAAACACTTTTCTTAATGCCCCTAGAATCAACTCCTCATTATATGGAAGAAGCAAATTTTTATGATAAATGTGTTAAAGTACACAATTAACCCAATTTTTTTAAAAAAGTCCTTGTAGTACTTCTGTAAACATTTGTTTGCCTATAGATTAGACTTTAATTATTAGCTATTTATTGCAGAGGATTCTCCACACTGGTAAAAGGAGACATTAAATAAAATGCTTCTATCTGAGTACAGGCTTAAGTAACAGCTAAATTAAATCTTTGTGTTAATATTATTCATAGAAAGCCAGATGGGAGCAGAAAATGTTGCAATGAAGAATATGGAATGAGATGAGATCACAGCATCAGTCTGTCCTTTGTAGATCTGGACAATGATCACAGAGCCAGATTGGATTAGTGAAACCTATTTACCAGAAGTTCAGAGCGGTTGCATGAAGCTGAAAGGCAGTCAGTAGGGAGACGTGGAAAATGCACCAGATTTACAGCTGCAGCGACGAGAATTTAGAAGTTTTCACCACTGTGATTTCATCCAAATGTGAGTACATCAAAATGTAACAACCACTACGGTGTTGTCTTTTGGAGGGATGGGATGTTTAGCAATGGGGAAATCTTTGAAATGAGCAGCTCCTCTGCTCTGCCGTGCCCTGCTCTGCCCGCAGCCCAGCACTCGCCGCCGCTTTCACGAGCTAATCCGTGCAGGTGCTTCAACATTGTGGCTGTGTAAAATCTTTGCACTGACAAAACTGGGAGATCTGAAATCGATGTTGCTATACCTATGAGGTAACTGCTAAAGTGACAGCTTGCAACTGTGTGGCTATTCTGCGTAATAGAAAAGAGAATGAAGTTCTGTGAGCAGTTAGCAGCTCAGATGAAGTGGGTGAACTGCATGAATGTTGAATTTAAGTGTGCTGGCTCAATAAGTGGACCATTTCCAAAGCCATGCCCTGGAAATGAATGCATGATTAACATTAATTGCTTCTAATGAAGAGTAAGAACCGGACAAAGCCCAGCCTGCATTTGATTGAACAAATTAGTTTAAATTCAATGGCTGCATATTTCAGCAACAAGAAAGCAGGGAAAAGCAGGGAAAACAAATTCTGGGACCAGATCAGATCTCTACTTGCAAGCTGCGAGCATGAGTTCTCAGCTGCTTAATTTTGCAATATAAGTGGAAATGACAAAGTGAAACATCACTGTAATTGTATTTGTTGCCCGAAAGCTGGGCTGTACATACAAACATTCTTTTGCAGGCAAATCCAAATACATCGTCTGCAGGGATTAATTCTTCCCTTCCTTCTCTCCCACTCTCTGCATAGATTCGTGTTTGCAGGGACAGCCCCGCAGCCCCACTGTTTGCACTGCTGCCATTGTGTTCCCCCACAAGTGGGTCACTTCTGGCTACCTCTGTGATTCACTCTTCTTTCAATGGCTATTCAAGTAACTTCATGTTTGCTGGTGCTATGACTTCCCTTTCATGCCTTGCCTTTCTTCAGCCCCTGTAAGCCTTTTGCCACTTGTTCTGGTGGACAACAGGCAGTAAGTTCGACTGTGGATCCTATGTACTCTGAAAATATGCAAATTTATTACTGTTAGGCACATTTATGTGTTCTTCCTTGTGCACCAGCCTGGGTAGCTATAACAGCACAAAAGCACTTGCTTCTGGTAGAAATCTCTGTGAACTGTGCTCCTCACACTGTCTGGTAAAATACATAAAATACCAGAGAGACAAGAAGATAATTAATTACTTGCATCACTAAACTTTTTTGCACTTGAGTGTTTCATTTGTGAGCAATTAGTTTAGTCCTCACAGAATGAAATTCCAGAATTAAAGGTGATTGAAGCAGCTTCAAAAACAACTTACAAGATATTGCCAGGGAAGAAAAAAAAATCAAGCCATCTTTATTATGTTTGTCTAGCTTTCATCCCACACTCCTGTGGTTTAAAATATAAAATGTGTTCTGCAGGAGAAGACAGTAAGGATCCCTGAGGATATTATGCCATGCAAAACAGACTGTAATTGAACTGACAGCTTAGCACATTCTCAAGCTCTAAACAGGCAGATAACTTACTTGTGATGAGTTCAGTGTGGAAGTGCCCTGTGCTGCAGTGAACCACTCTCAGGGACCCTGGGCAAGACTGTTCACCTCCCATATTCCTGTCATGTTTCACTATCGGCAGAGAACAGGCCAAAACTTTTTCTCCAGTGTGGTCCTAATGCTCAGTACTTATACCCTCACTGAGGTATGGAGGGGTGGCTGTTAGACATGCTCAAACTGTCTAGGAGGAGTGACTTTGGTCTCACTGCCAGCTCACTGCTCAGTACTGGAGCCCTGGAAAGCCCAGTTACTCCTGCCATCTGAGGAGAGCCGTTTGGCTGCAGTAACCAGCGGCCTTCAATGACCTCCAGCTGCTTACACAGCTTCAAAACTCTGCAAACAGTAATACATAGCAGCGATAAGCATTGTAACTCCTGGAGTTAAATGTGTGCCAATGTAAAGGAAAGCTCACCTGGGGAGCAGGAGTCACCCATCATCCCATAACAAACCTTCCTGGCTCTTCAAAGCCTTTGGATTATACATGGAGCCTGAATAGGAAACCCCCATTCACATGCCTTGCCCCAAGGCTCAGCCTTTAGAACTGGAGTTAATTCTCCACATTTGGCAGGTTTTTGCAGGCCTGTTCCTGTCACTGGCTGCTAAATCCTGTAGCTCCTGTAGCCTGAAAACAGAGGAGGGTAATACATGATGAGAGGGAGAGCTGGAAGTATCACAGAGCCTTTCAGGCCAGTTTCAATTCTAACTCAAACAACAAGTGTTTAAATAATCTTCACTTTGTCCAATAAAACCCTCATCAGAAACCACTCACTTCAGTCCAGCCAAAAACTTGGCTTATAAACCTGGCATTTTGTGTATCTATTGCCTAGTGGTTCTATGATTTTGGTGTTTTCATGGGCCTAAGAAATAAAAAAAGAGAAACAGACTTTAAGCAAAATGCCCCAAGTTAGAGAACCGAATGGGTCATTCTGAGGATTGAAAAAGAAAATATTAGGCTTAGTGCAAATGTTATGCTTTGGACATCATGCAGTAAAAGTGAAATGATGTCCTGAGGGAGTTTGAGCTTATTGATAAAATCCCTAACTAGATAAAATTCTAGAACTCTCCAAGATAACGTTTAGACTAGTCATTTCCTTCTGAAATATTGGCAGGTGGGAGGTCAGATCAAAACTGAGGAAAGAGAAGGGTTCCTCCAGGAAGCCTATGGAAGAGTTGCAGAAACTTGGCTGTTGCCCTGAGCCCATGGATGTCTGTATTGTGTAGCTAGAGCATGACCTCTGAGACAACATTAAAAAGGAGTTTTTTGGGAGTTATTTCAGCTGGAATCTTCCTTAAAGGCATGTGTCCACCTCCACTACAGGCTGACTACGTTCCTGTTCTTCTTTTTGCAGCATGTAGTCCTGCCCGAAGACGAGCCAAAACTACGCAGCACATCCTAACAAAGAACGTAAGAAAAGTCTCCTTTTCTATCCCTCTTTTTTTTTTTTAGTTCTAGTTGAGTACACTTATCCTAAAACATGCTGTGGATAAATGGGAAGCAGATGTTTCAGGGCAAAGAAGTGCATCGGTGTCTGATGTAGGGAGTGGGGTGGGAAACAGAAAGGAGAGTTTCTGTAAAGCTGCAGTTTATATACAGAAGTGTTTTGAAACAAACAATAAAATAAATGTGGTCTTGCTGTGCACAGTCAAAAGGAACATATCAGCTTATCAACATGGACCATCTGAGGGAATCACAGACTTAATTCTTATCCATAAAGCCTTAATCAAAGTGGTAGGGGGACAGGCAAGAATCAAAAGTAAACAAATCATAGCAATACATATACGTGTTAATCAAGGAGCCAGTATCCCAGGGAATTTGGGAGAAAAACACCAAGCAGTGGACTGTAATCTCAACCCAAAGGGATGACTGATAGAGCCATCCACTGGAGGATGCTTGTCCCTTGGCCCCAGTAATGTTTGCCTGCCCTTGACTCACCTGCAGTGCACCGGCACAGAGGGCACACATGGAGCTTTACCCACTCCCTGTAGCTGAGGTACCCCCAAATTAAAATAACTGAACATTTTTCATTCTCTGAGAAAATGTTTTCTAAGTTCCAGTGCTTTGGCACATGGTGTGAGGTTTCTTGCCTTCAGAGGCAGTTTTTCCTCCTTAAATCCACTTGACCCATTCACAATTCCTTTCACAATCCTTTTAACTGATTTGCAGGAATGACAGTCTCTTTCTCTTCTGCATATCCAAGCACTTTTTACAGGGTTTGAGACTATTCTGCCACAGCATTTCTTCTCACCACAGACCTGTCTCCTCTCTAGCACTTTGTTGAAATATTTTGCTCCTTGGCCTTTCTTTTTTCCATGCTCTATCCTACTACACAGCCCCATCGTAGAGAGTCTCTTCTTTGCATTCCTGGTTCCCTGATCTCCCTACAGAACTGTAGGTCCTCCTGCTTACCGCCCTCACTCCTGTTTCATCTTTTGGTTACTAAAGCACATCACAGGATCCCAGAATGTCACAGGAGGCCTGAAGTGGTTCCCAGGCTGAGTCAATAACATGCCTGTCAATTTTGGGTAGACACGATATATATGTGTATTTTTACAAATGGTAAAAAGTCTTATTTTTGTCCTGTAACTCAGGCTCAGGTTTCAAAATGACTCTTCAAATGTGGATGAAAGTCAGAGTGCTGGAGTGTTACTCAAACTAAGCCATTTTGAGATACCCCATTTTTATTTCCTTATGCCTTTTATTTCCATTATGCCTTTGATATCTTCTGTTTTCCATTCAATATAAAAACAGAAGAAAAGTCCAAACTAAAAGTAAACTATTCTCACTTGATGAAACAGTATGCACAGATAACTTACCTCTTTTTTTTTTTTTGACAAAATTTTTCATAAAACTATTTAGCTGAAAACTTTCAGCTAAGCTTTCATTGAAATCAAGGGCAACTCTATGTCTGCGATGATGTTCCAAATCCCAGCAGATAGTTGTTGTTTCTACTAAATGGAAGCATCTAATATTTAATTTGGATGGGATCAGCTGCTGTGGCAGCACTATACTCATAAAGGCCTAAGAAAATGAGATAAGAAAGTCCCTGTTTTGTTGCTGTATTTTAAGAGGATTGGTTTTCTCCTTTGGGGCTTTCCTGACCCCAATTAAGGATGTCTTTTGATTGGCTCTTAGTCATGATGCAGGCAGCATCGTAGTAGCAGTGGAGCACCAAGCCCGAGGAATGGTCTGCAGCTCCAGCAAAGAAAACAAGGATGGCTCTCAAACCAAAGGAATTGGCGCAGTCAACTCTTAGGTTTGTGCATTCCCCTTCATCAGTGGGATGCAGCTGCTTACAGCTCATACACAAGCATTCAAATAAATTGCATGTACTGGAATAGATAAGCCTGTGAGGAAGTTGTGATTGCCAATTTCTAGACCCACAGAAAAGTAGCAGAATGATTATTTATTTTTCACTTTTACATCTGCACCTGTAGTCAGTGCTGTAGAAATGCCTCAGCTAACATGAAATCTCCTGCTCTGGCAATTGCAGTGGATGCACAACTTTAATCCTCAGCAAGACAAAAATAGCAACCAATGTGGACATCTGCCAGACCTTTTTTTTTCACAGCAGAAATACTCGAGTAGTGTAACAGTAAGTGATTTAACATTCAAATGACTTTACTTTTGGGGGCGTAACTTCCATCACATTCAAGAACCCATCCCAAATGCACAAACATGACTGTGGAAGGGTGAACGAAGGGGGGAAACACCTTCTCTTTTTCAGCTGAGTGTTTAAAGAACATCTTTATTTGCAGTTCCTGTTGCCCTATTAAGAGGTATTTCCAATGATAGTAGATCCTTCACTTCTCTTCCCTTGCTCTTCTAGCCCCAAAATCCCTTGGGTAGAACTGTCTGGACAGTACCTGGCTACTTTGCATGAAAATGATAAATCCCTCTGTGGATGCTAGAGCTACCACATTAAAAATTAGCTCAATATTAGACCATCAAAAAGAGCTTAACTCTACAAATCCAGCATTTGCTCCACTAACAAGCACTTGGTTGTTCAGCCTCTAACCTTCAAAGTTTTATCCAAAACCATATATTTAATTGTCACCTTTTCTGGATGGTTGTTGGTTTGGTGGTGGGATTTTGGGTCCAGCATCGGGGTGGCTGGAACAGCATCTGTGCCGCTCTGCAACCCTCCTGTGTCTTTCGTGCCCCTTCCCCCTTAGCACAGCTAATTTCAACAGTGGGTATGCCAGGCCTCCATGCTGTCATGTGCACGGCAAAGTCCATTAAAAGACACTTTGCTGAGCTCTGAATTCAGAGGCAATGTCCTGCAAACAGACTGAGCCGGTCAAGGGACTTACAGGTTCTAAAAACAGTAGGTTTTTAGAGAGCAACTTGGTAGTTCTGCACAGTCTGGCTGACTCTGCCATTCACACAGATTTAAATCTCCTGGTTTGTCTAGAAAAGAAAAGTGACTCCCAGCTGATCCTTCTGCCTTACCCTAGGTACCCTAGAGAAATGTCAGCTCCACTTTAGATCAAAACCGTGCTGCAGCAGGTTTAGTTTCCTGACCTAGATAAGTCTTAACATATTACAGCAATGAGTGAGGTAGCCAAAGTCACAGTGAAATCTTGAATTAAGAGATAAGGAACTTCCAAAGGGTGCTACAGCCAAACACTGCAAAGACGTTCGCTATGGACATTGAACTGTTGTCTCCAGCTGTAATGGAAAATGGTACTGTAACTTATTTATACAGATTCTGCTGCTTGGAGGCATTTTGGCATTACTGATATCACAGGTAACGAGGAATCTTGCAAACAATAACCATGTGCCTAAATAATTCCTGCTATTAATCAAGTTAAAAATCCTGCTTCCTTTCCCCAAACCATATTTCATTCTTTGCAACACGTAGGCAGAATGTTACGTTTCAAGTCCACGATGGTTTACGCTGATCGAATAAGCCACTTTCAGGATTAGAATTAGGTGCAGCCAGCATCCTACTTACCAAAAATGCTCTTTCCATGACAATGCAAAATAAGTGACCTCGGGTGTCTCAGTAGCATAGGGTTGATGATATTTTCTGTCACACACCAATAAAGTCTGAGTTTGACCAAGAGCACTGGGCATATTTCCAGAGACGGTGGGAAGAGCTAAGCGTTGTGGAATTCCTTGAAAGCTTGATTCACATGAGGCAAGTTCCAAGGGCTGTCATGAGAGACCCCTGCCAGCCACAGTCTCATCATATTTGTACTGAAGACAGGTGTCTCCACTGATGTCATTGTGGTGAAGGGGATGACGCCTCTGATAAGCAGCTTGCAAGGTTCAGGTGGTCAGGGTATGCGTGGACGCAGGAGCCTGCAGCCTGTGAGGAGCTGCTGCAGAGGGATGGGGAGGTGCTGGAGCTGGTCCAGGGGCAGCTGGGAGAGAGCCAATGCCAACAGCTTCAGCAGCAACAGGAGGCCTCTCACAACCAGTATCACTCTCGTTTCTGAGTTATCGGAGTAATGCTGAGGCTCGACTCTATTCAGCAGCACCAGATTCATGGTCAGTAGAGCTGGGAACCGGCCGCAGCTGACCTTAGTGTGTGCTTATCTTCAGACACCAATAGTCCCTTTGACTTTAACTTACCACTGGGCATGTCCTTTTGTAGCTTACAAGTGGGGACTGTGTTCGGCTGTGTGTCAAAGTCCACAGAATTAGGAGAAAACCCCTCTTAGACCTTAGATGAGGCTTTGGTTGCCTTACCAGCCTTTTCCAGCAGTATTTCTGCCTACTGTTGGGCAGTTTCTGCTCCTCTTCCTGCTGGTCAGTAGGATTTAGACAATATAGCCTCCTCCCGACTCCTGAGGATACATGGAGACAAAAGAGTTAAAAGTGGTCAAGTTTGGGGTTTTCTTCTTTCCTGTTTTGCAAAGCATTGGTTTGTATACATTTTTATGTCTGTGTAAAAAATCACATTGCAGATTAATGGCAAACTGAATTAAAACTTAATTAGAGGAAATGGACAATTTGGCATGAGGGGCCATGCTTAAATCCAGTCTTGCTTTTATCATGAGTGTAAGTAAGTAAGTAAGTCCAAAAGACAGGGTAGACCATGAGGAAATAGCAGTTGTAATTCTCATTGTGTAAGTCTGATCGATTGCCCAAGATGTGACACAATAAAAAATTAAATTTGATCTGTCTAATAGGCATATCCTACTCAGTGAAGCTTGAAAAAGACCATATTTCAATCTCCTGAGGAGAATACAGAAAGGTGTAAATAAGTAGCTGGGTCCCAGAGAGACTCCACAGGATTTTCCCATATGGTGGTCTAATGGTTAGGTTGCAGCACTCTCACCACTGCGGCCCGGGTTCGATTCCAGGCCAGGGAAAAACTCCCCCGGGCAGATGGAGCTCGTCAGCCCTGTAAGACCATCCATCTAAGAGAAGGTCACTCTAAACAAACCTACATCCTGAGGACCTCACTGCCACTGTCCAAGTTTGCTCGGCCCCGGCAGATGAACCTCAGGATTAAAGGGTGGGCTCAGTTCAGCGCACACTGTGTCTCACCTAAAAAATCCACTGCGCAGGCTCGAAGGGTTAATGACCTTTCCCAAATCTTTGCTCGCGAAGACTGGCCATACTATATGTCTCATGCACAGAGGCTAGAGCCAAACAAAACAAATCCCACAAATCCCAGAGCCCCCACCTGACAAAATCCACTTTGGATGACAGTAAAGCAGTGGGAAGAGCAAACTGCCTTTCGGCTCCCCCATGACCTCAACAGACCACCTAATGCCCAAAGCCAAGTGTAACAGGACGGTTTTGTCTCCTCCCTGCAGGTGGTGGCCATCTCCGACCGCCGGCCCCACCAGGGTGACCTGCTGCAGGTGCTGTACAGCGAGGACGAGGCGCGGGGCCTGGGCGGGCAGAGGGGGCCCCGCCCCGCCAAGGGCACGGCCCAGCACGGTAAGTCCACAGAAGGGGCTTTTTTTTCTCCACAGCTTTAGGACATTTTTAGATATTGCAGCCTTCCAGTTTGCAGCGGAGCGGGCGCTTTATTATGTACCTGGAGGATAATTCCGTGCTTAAAATATCTAGTGGAATTAATGAGATAATGACTGTGGCATTGCTCAATTTATTTGGAGTCATAAACTCACTTTATTCAGTCATAAACACCCCTTGACAATATTTTAGAATGATAAATTGTGAATTACTGCATTTGCCTGAGTCATCTTATTATATAAGATCCCTGTTCAGTTGCTTAGAACTTGCCAGAACATAATAATTTGAGATGAAATTTCAGATTCTGGATGTCAGCCACAGACCTGAATTTTTTTCAACTAAAACTTCTTCAGCATATTTGTGAGAACTCGTGAAGGAAAAATAGAGCTTGCCAATACAAAACCAAGGAGATGAGTAAACATAAACAGAGTGGTCATTCAGCTCCTTCAACACTGGTGTGTTATGTTTGGAGGATCAAAGCTGGAGCAGGGCTGTGCAGTTTGGCAAGGGATGGCCTTTTAATCAAAACCGTGTGTTTTGCTCTCCTTTGGAAAACCACCCAGTTGCAGTCAAGTCATAAGCCTTTAAAAAAATCCCATATGGCATGTATTTGGTAGACAAAATGGGCATTTGGCTGTTAAAACATGCAAAATTATTAAAGCAGGTGCATGAAGGTGCATATTCCTCACATCACCGGTCTGCAACTGCACTGCACATAAGCCATCCCATCAGGAACATAGACCAGACAGGAGTGGGGCCTGGGAAACTGGGAAGGAAGAAACTGAGTTTGGGACCATAGGGAAAGACCTCAAACCAGGACCAGAGCCAAGATGTGTCTGAACAAAGAACTGGAGCCTCAGGGCTGGAGCAGGGAGATGAGGAGGAGTGGCTGGGACTGGCTGCAGGGTAAAGGGTGGCAGAGAGCCAGAGAGGGAGGAAGGAGGGCCTTCTGGTCTCTGCTGTTAGGGGAAATGAGTAAAGGATCACAGAGAGGTGCAAAAAAGTGAAAAGCTGTAGAAATCCAAAAAGAAGAACAGAAAAGGGGAAAACAGGTCTCATAGGAGGGGAAAGGGAAGTGAGTGGGCAGAACTTAGAAACTAGGTTTAAATTAGAACAAAAAACATAAAAGAGCACTGATGAGGCCATCAGCATGTTTATTGCTAGCATCAGGAATCCCACACAAATAACAAAGCATAAGGACAGTCCATTTCAGTGTACGGGAAGGCAATTCTGGAAGTGGAATTCACAATACACCCAGCCACTACTGTCCTGAGGGGAGCACCTACAAACCTGAAGCCATGAGGCCTTACTTTTTTTCAGATATTTTGCTAAAAGTTTGCCAGAACATTTTCTGTATCTAGTAAGAAGAGGGACAGGCTGAAGGGAAGAATCAGACAATATAAGAGCAAATAAAACCAAATAAAAGAAAAAATATGGACATTAGCTGAAGTACTGATGCCTGGAGCTACTTGCTGAATACTGTTAGTACCTAATATGCAAGATGAGAGGAGGTAATTTCATTAACTTTGACGTGAGGGATACAGTAAGGTACCTAATGGAATTACTAGAGGGGGTGGAGCAGGAAGCAAGAAGCTGGTTAAGACATTTGTCATGCTCAAATATTGCCCCCAGAAGGAAAAGACAGTTCTGATTGCTAAGTCATGCTGGAGACAGCACTATAAGAAGCACCTTGACTATTTCCAAATTTGCTTTCATTATTTGTATTCCATTGGTCACAGCAGTAGAAATGGTCCACACTCCCCCAGCCAAGTGGGAGGATTTGGCTCCATGAAAAAAATCTGGTATCCCTCACTCATTTATTTCCTTGGTACAGCTAGCAGGAATGTCAGTGAGCATTTATCCATGGATAAGTTACTGGCTGAGCACTCACTTGAAAGTGAAGGGTAACCTCCAGAGTTGAGGACAGCAGAGAGGTGTCACTCAGCCGCGAGCTGGGAGAAATATTAAATCCCTCTCTGTGATGAGGTGGACATAACACACATCTCTGCCCAGGTTAAAATAACTCCCTAGAGCAATGCAGAAATGAGAGAATTATCTCCTAGGCAGGACAGACCTGCAATGGGGGCTCCAGGATGCACAAAAACTGGGTTGCCCAACCTCTGCTGGGGAGCAGCAGATGGGACCACTCTTTGCATGCAGAGACATGTGAGTGGTCCCGGAGGGGAATGCCTCCCACTTAGCTTGGTCTGCTAAGGACAGTTCACCATCTCATTTGAAAAGTCTAGGAGCAAGCAGTTGAGAGACTTTCCAGAATGACTTAAGTAATTCCACAATCACTTATTTTGACATCACAGATGGTCATAGTAAAGAAAACTCTGTGCTTTTGCTATAATCAAAGCCAGTGGAATTATAATTTGTATCTGGGCTCTGTCCATATCTGAGTTTATACTGTATGAAAAGAGGCTTTTCATACAAGATATGCCAAAGGGATAATTACAGATAATGCCATATCTCTTATGCTTTTCAGTGGGAATTAATGAGCGAGAGTCATCCAAGTCCTATAGTCACCTGTTGGATGGAAAGTCTTTGGTAAGTAAATACAGCAAGACCAACTGACCAACTACCATTGTCTGATGCATCTTAAACTGTTGTACCTTTCAGTTTGTCCCACAGTAACAGCAGGACAGTCTGTTGCAGTACATGTGGATTTCACAGTCTTTGTTAAACCTTTGAGACATAATTTTGCCATAGGATCCTTAGCTGGGAGCAGAGACTGGCTCAGGACAACTACCCCTCCGGGGACCAGGAAGGGTGTTGGGACAGAAGGAGACAGGCTCCTGTTCTGAATGCTCATCAACCTGCAAGAGCTGGGAGGAATTAGCCTCTTGTTTCTCAGGGAATTTCATAAATCGGGAAAAAACTAATTTCTAAAGTGCAACAGGCATCAAATAATTTGCATTCTCCAGAATGCCAACTTGACATGATAATCACGTGAGTCAGAAATGTCAAAAAAGAGTTGATGAGAAAATCTTCATACTAAACCCTTAAATTTGTATTTTAATGGGTAGAAAAAATGTTTTGGTTCAAAATGACTCATGTTTACTAAAACATTCTCCCTCCTTTCTTTGTCTTACAAAAAACCCCAATTTTCAAATCCCTACATTTAAAAAATATAGGTTTTTCAAAGAGAAAAAAAATCTTCTGAAAAGTTTCTGGCCAACACTGGACCATACTATCAAAACTTTAGGTTTCAAAGGCTCTTTTGGATGGCTGCAACATACTTGCTAGCTGAAAGCTGGGCTACACTTGGGAAAAACAACAGTGCAATATTGAAGGATGGTCAAAATTAGTGGTATTCAGTGTAATGAAACTAATTGAACTTACCAATAATTACCACGGTTAAATTGCAAAAGATGCCTGCAAAAGTGATTTCAAAATCTCCAAGTCTTGGGATACTTGAAAAGCACACTTAAACGTATCCATTCTCAGAATAATCCCAGGAGAAATAGCCCTAGACAGCTTAAAGGTCAGTTGTGGTAGTGACAATAACATGAAGAAATTTTTCGGTATTGCCAGTAAAATCAATATATGCTTATTGCCTGAAATTATGAGATCACAGCACAGTTTTTGACTTTTTTTTTATTTCTGGGCAACTAACATTTTAATTTACTGTCTTGGAGGATATGCTAGTCTCACTGACCCATTTATGGGATAAAGTGACTCAGTTCTGGCAGGCAATTGAGGTTCAAATAAGACCAGGAGAGAGTCGACAATCAGGCACTTGTGGGGCCGTGGCAGAACTGGAATATAACCAGGGCTCCCCGCGCCACAGAGAAGCACCCAACAAAACAGGGAAACATTTCACAATGCTCAAGGGATGATGATGGCTGAGACATCTGCTTCCCAGGCAGCCACAGAGGTTGCCTGTGAGGAGCTGCAAGAGGCAGGCTGCTCAGTCTGCACAAAGCCTCACTGCCTCAGGAAGCTAAATGTAATAACTGGGGACTAAAAAGTTCTGCAAGCCTCCCTCTTTTGATGGGAGGTGTAACTCTTGCTCATACAAGTCATGTGCTGACCTCACTGAGAACATTCACGAGAGCAATTGGTATTTGTGTGGTTGAGAGCTGGGCAGTCAAATCCCTAACCTGCTTTCTCTTGTTGAGAGATTTACAGTATTTATTGATTTTGTTAAAACAGCCTCTTTCCTCAGATGAACCTGTGTCCCTATTCATCAGTGGCATTTCCTAATGATGTGCTTTTTCCTCTCACAGATTCCTCCATCTCCAGTTGCCCATATCACAGTGAAAACTGTGACTGTCACAGGCTCTCCCACACGTGACTGCACTTCTACAGAGGAGTAAGTTCATTCCCATCCCTCCAGCCAAGCCATGCCTCTTGCTTCCCAAAGGCAGGGAGAGATTGGTAAAGGATATGCTGACTATATCATTAGCCATAGCCACTTATACAGCTGCCTCAGTACCCATTACAACTCTTTTATCACTGGAAAAAAAGTCATCTTAATTCAAAATATAAATATTTTCAAGTATTTTCCCTCTAAGAAGTCTACCATATTTGCCCTGAGGTAGCTTAGAAAATATGATTAACTAAAAAAACCCACAAATTAACTAAAAAATTAACTAAAAAAAAGCACAAACCTTTAACGTCTTTAAGCATAATTAAGGAACAGCTTGACCACAGTACAAATGCACTCATCAGCAGGCAGTTAATTCAGACATGGATCTATGTGATATTTGAGGTGCTACCATTGCCACCTGAGGGACAGTAAGAAGCTGATTGTCACAGTGCCATCGCACTCTGTACAGACACGTAAATCCCCCTCAGCTAGTGGAGTTCACCCCTCCCAGGTGCTGCCACATGGTCCCCGGGACTTTGGTGGAAGGGCCCAGCACTCTCCTTGGACAACTTACCAGCTTCTTGTTGGGTGACAAGTGCTAGACAGGATGCACTTAGTAGTGGTCCCACTTGTAGCCCATCCCCTTGTGTGAGTGTCTACTCTGATAGCAAGGGAACAGGGGCACCAAGTGGAAGGGTGGCAGCTGCAGCATCCAAGCCCACTGTCCTGCACAGCCCCTGCTCATTCCAGACTTACCAGTCCCAGGGACAGGCCAGCGCGGACATATCTGGTTGAAACAAGACAGCTTTTGGTTTTAAATGGCTGGTCTCCATAAGCAGGGAAGAAGGGCCATGGAGATGCACTCTGTACACATCTGTGCTTTATTTGCCAGCCACAGGCACCGCTGGAGAAAGACAACAGAGTATGACCTGGCTCTGCCACCAGGAGCAGAAGCTTCCCTGCCACTGACAGGAGGCAACCTGTGCGGGACACCCAGCCTCCTAAGGAAGATGTGGATGAAGCACAAGAAGAAGTCAGAGTACCTGGGGGCAACAAACAGTGCCTTTGAGGCGGACTGATGAGGCTCAGCGTCACTTGGAAAGGCAGAAGGTCCTTTAGCCAAGGTGCTTTACAGAACAGACACAGCACAGCTCATCCAGGAAAACAATATCCTTTTTATTACTTCATGCCATTGCCTCAAAACAGTGGGAGAAAGGCTAAGATAAAAGTGGTGAACATGATGCAACTGACTGGCCTTTCTTTGTTGCATTATACTAAAATCCCAAGTATCCCACTAGATTTACATCTTGATTCAAAGATGCTGAAACTACTGCTGACCCATTCACCATTTTCTATGTCCTGTCTGAATCAGCTCAGACTTACAACAAGAAAAGCCTACCAAGAGGTTTGTGTATTCCTGCAAGGCAATAGATCAGTAACAGAGTGCCATTAAATCCCAGGGATCTACTTGTTGTGTACTGCTGCTTGCTGTCTTTCCCCTCTCATATCATGAGAAAAAAAAACACATCTTACGATATGTTTGGTTGAATGACACATCCTAAACATTTTTCTTACTTCAGTTTCAGTGTTTCAAGACTGGAGTAGAAGATGCAAAAAATTTAAAACAATGGGCCAGAACTGAGAAAATCTGCAAACATATGTACCAAATTTGTGATTGATGTTTCAAAGTGTTCTGCCAGATTAAGCTATGAGCAACTGAATAACCTCAAGGGATACTTTCGGCCATAGAACCTGCTTACATGTGAAGTAGTAGTCAGTAACTTAACCTCTGCCCATGTGGTAGAGGATATTTCATTAAGTGCTCAAAATACTAGAAGGAAAGAAAACATATAAATGGTGCAACTAGGTAACTAAACATGAGATATTTGCATGTAGGAGACCTGTGCTTATGAATAGATAGATTTAATGGAATTTGCTTAATTTTTTTTTCTCAATTTAGAAATAGCTGGTCAGGGCCTCTTGGGTTTTTGTCTCAAAAAAAGAAACAAACAGCTTTACAAAAAGGTTTTCACCATGGTTATACATAATATTACACTAGTCATGAGCAGTACTTGCCTCCTATGAGTGCTCCCCTGGTTCTTATAAAAGATATTGGTTTCCCTGAATACAGAACTTTATTTTTCAAGCTGGAGGAAGGATATATCCTGTTGCTCATAATAATGATGATCTCTAATCTAACAGCCAGTGCACCAAAGCATAAATTAAAAATACAAGTCTTACTCTGTGACAGAAGCAGAAGGAAGAAGCTCCCATCTGAAACTTGCTTGCCAGCAGCCAGTGCAGTAAAATGCACTGAGATGCCACCAAAAGCAGTGCCATGGTACATACTGAGGTGAGGAGGCTCAGACAACTATCCCTGGTCAGGGGCCACCAGCTCAGAAGTACCAGGGTACCACCTGGCCAGGAGAGAAAGGAGACAGGCCCTCTGGCTTTGGGTTGAGCAGGGTAGAGCAGCACACAGGAAAGGTTTGCAGCTTGACAGCCTGAGCAACTGAAATCCTTGGAACGGGAAAGCAAATGGAACAGTAGCGTCACAGAGAAAATGTGCCCAGTGGCTCCAGGGAAGCCAGTAGGGGACACCTATGTGGGACTAGACATGATGGAGGAGGCAGTAGAGTGGGGTGGAAGCATTATTTAAAAAGATAACTGTGGCTTTTCATACAGCCAGAGCCCACTCCAGAGTCTGCCAAAGAGAGAGAGAGGCACTAGACCTTCATGAAATACCTCTGTCAGCCCTCACGTTCAGTTGTCTGTCACTGCTTCAGTCACAGGCTCCTCTTTCGGAGGTGCTCAACTACTCAGAGTACAACCTTGCAACTAGAAATCACACAGACTTTCAGTCCTCCTTACCAGAGGTAAAAGTCCTTTTCTGGCCCAGCAGCCTGACACAGGGATGATCTACTCTCCTGCTTTTATTTCTTGCTCCTGTGAGCAAGGAGAACACAGTTCCTTGTTAACCACATGCTGGATGTGGCAATGGTGACCCAGCATTAACCACGTGCCACCTACCACAGCATGTGAGAGCAATGCCAATGCCCACTGAAGGCTGCACACCTGAGCAGTTCCAGAGCAGTTTTCTCACAGGGGTCCACCCCACCTTTAAATTGGAGCCTGATACATTGGCCCTGTGTAATAGTCTGGGCACCGTGACCCTGCCAACACCAGGTCCTCTATGACTGAACCAAGCTGGAGCCATGGACAGGAGTTTCTTGAAAACACCTTTTACAAATATCACCAACCACACTACAGCCCCCTCCCTATCCCATAGAAATCCTGCCAGAAACCTTGGCCTTGTAGGGACATGCTATTTTTACGCACATAGGTGAATTTAGTAAGTTCAGGGGGACTGCTCCCTTGCACAGAGATGCAGACTCAAGGAGTAAGGAGAACAGTAATCACTTGTTCCCTTTCTTGGTCTCGTTTCCTAAACAAAGCAAAAATAAGGACAGTGGAGAGACACTGGGAAAAGTCCATTTGCTGAAATTGGTAATTAGGAGAGTGAGCATTTGTGGTACCTGCCCTTATAGCTAACATGACCCATAGAGCACCCAAACAAACTCCAGGGAAGCAAGAGTTTTATCTGTTGAGAAAGTTGTATTGTAGTATTTAATTTGTTAATTAATAGCTTTAAGCAGTATGAGGATGGAGGCAGAGATGATTAATATTTCTTTTTAATAACTGCTGTATCTTGAAATATGTATTTATGTTTTTCTTATTTATTTAATTTATAATTTGGATCTACAAGAGGAGGAGATATTTACAAGAAGCATATTTAATTTCTTGTATTTCAGGTACTGCTGTGGAGATTTTTTGTATTGCAGTAGATATTTATTTTATTGATTTAAAAATATGTTCTATTATGAAAAAAAAAGTAAATAAACAAGTAGCATGTGGTAACCTATGGGTCTCAGTGACTTAAGGGGTTTTGGGAAGCATTTAGTAGAAAACAAAGGCAGGGTGCATGGTACTGAAAAATACAAACACCTGATAGAACGGGAACTTTGCTCCCCATAGGGAGAGCCTGAAAGTGTGTTTGTGAGCAACTCCAGTATTTTACAGGTGGTAGAATCATTGTTTGTTATCAGATACACAGAGAAAAGTCCTGGCACTGCCAGGAGTCAGATGTTAGATACACCTTTACACACCTAACCTCAAATGCATTCCAGACACAACATTAAATGTCACTGTGGCCCTGAGAGGAAAGCAGCATCACCTTCCTCCCATCAAATAAGAGCACAAAGACAGAGACTCCTCAAAGGTAGTTAAGGCTCTGGTAGAGAAAAAAAACCAAGTGCTCCCTGTCTTCATCTTACCAGCTGACAAGAAAGTCACTGAACTTACCTCAAACACAACACTGTCTTTGGAGACCCCCTGCTAAACCACGGCACAACCCGAGAAGGGTGGCACAGGGACGCAGGAGCCCAGCCTAGGGAAAATGACTCAGGACTGCAAGTGGAACGACTTTAAGATACAAGGAAAGAAAATATATGGTGTTGGCATTCTTTACCAAACCAGACTTCAAAGCTCATCTATTAGAGGGTGACTTGTCCCCCTGCCTGCTGCAGCGCTCGTACCTCACGCAGCTCTGGTGAAAAGTTGCCAAATTTCTGTTCCTTCCATTACAGACAGCATTATGTTTAAAATGAGCAAGCCAGGGAGTGTCCTCTTGGTGAGTCTCCACACCACAGGACTTGGCATGGATTTTTTCTAGGACCTGGCCTCTGCTAGAAACTCCTCTGCAAATACCTGACCTTTAGCCATGCATTAAAAATATCGGCATGAGTATGCAAGAGGATGTGGATATGCAATACATTTTCCAGATGAAACTGTACAGAAAGCAATGTTGGGTTGACTCCAGCACACTGTCAGAAAAACGTGGAATAGTGATAACTAAAATAAGTGAACTGTACTATTTTTCCACCACAGACGCAGAGATTGTCAACTTTGCAGCTGAAAGCGTTGCCTCTGGCACTACCAGGCACAAGCCTGTTGTTATAGTTTATAACATCTGTCAGAAGATGCATTTTTCAGACATGTTTCGTGTCAATTTATAATTTGGCATTCCCTGGAACTACAGACTAACTGGGTCACTGACCTGACAGAAATAGACTGCATGATGACAATCCATTCCACTTACAGTAGTTAATAGTTCATTTCAAAAAAAAAAAGGTTTTCTAATTTCTTCTCATAATTTCAAAAGCATTTTTGTAATAGAGCTAGTCACTAAAATATCCATCATTACTTTGCATACCACTTTATTTAAATAAACTGTAGTGAATTTAAGGCTATGGTACTATATAAAATAATTCCTACTGATGCGTGGAAAAAAATAAATCTCAGATATGCTTTGCCTGCCTTTCTTCCCCTTTTGCTCTCAACTTACAGATACTGTAGCAAACAGAGTCGCCAGAAGAGCCAATTATGGACACATGGCTGTTTGAGGGAATACCACAGACTTTATACAGAAAATATTTAAACTCAAACATTGGCATCTGCACAACAATTTCACGTCTGAGAGTTACCCAGCCAGAAAAGTTGCAATATCAGAACTTGCACACACAAAAAAACCTGAAACAAGTCAGATTTCTCAGATGAAACTCCTCCTCAGAAAGCCGTATGTGAACTCTACAAACAATGAAAATGTCAAACAGTGACAATTATTTTAAGAGAGGTTTTTAAAATCTCAACATTAACTCCATAGATGATTCACAGGTGAGCAGCTCGACCCTACATGGTATTGAAAACCTTTTTTTTTTTTAAGTGGCAGAGCTATTATTAAAATAAATGGGCACACAGATCACTAATATAAAAACTGAAGTGATTAGAAGGAAAAGAGAGAGTTGAATACATAATTCAGTTAGATGAAGGCCCAGAAAAACTGAGAAGTTGAGTTCAAAGGGGGATGAAATGGAAACCCTTGTGAATGATCTCCCTCTTCTCAGCCATCAGGTTGAAGTCACTATTAAAGAGACATCATGTTTAACAGCTTTTTATTAATAAGCCTCGTGGAGCAGTCAGGGCCTCAGACCCGGCCCAAAGGTAAAGATCAGCACAGACACTTGCTGGCAGTCCCCAGACTCAGCCAGGTGTTCTACCATGTCAGACCTCCTGTCCTGCAGATTCACCTGCCTAATATTCTGTTTTATTTTAGACAGATATTTTCCTGCTGAGCCACCGCATTTTGCATAAAAGCGGTGAAACAGTAAGAGGCAGCACACAA